GTCAAATGTAATTAAAGTCAGATCCACTCGTGTCTTAGACGGGGCAGTGATATCATAAACCTGTTAATGTACGCATTCAAACACTTTTTCTTTTACCAGCTGTATTCACCTTGCAGGTGCAACTATGTGGCTTTTATCCTGGATAAAGTGTTTAAGTCATGGATGTTTAAAGTTTAACTTCTTCATATTTGTCTAATATTATAGTTGACTTTTCATTCAGGAAGTATGACGCTGCGCTGTCAGTACGCTTCTCCATGTTTGTGATTGGTCGAATGCTCCAGGTAACACCCCTTTCATGTGAACGCGCACCTAACTAGATAGGGTACGGCTGGCTTGAGTTAACGAGTTGATAACCAGCGTCGTAGGACCACTTAGCGAGAGCGCATTTGTTTTGGATTAGGTAAACCGGGTAACTCAAACATATCCCGGTTATGTTGAACCGGCTTCGTCGGCCTCTGCCCTCTGTCCCTCGGTAATGTTATGTTTTTGTCCAAATGTTTGTCATGCTTCAAGTACTAGAATGGAATTCAGTTGTTTGTCAGTGTTAAGCATAGTTGTTCAAAAATTGGGAGAACTGCCATTACTGTTGAAAATGTAAAACAACTTTTTATCATTTATAAAACTATATGATAATTATATTGTAAATATTCTTTGAAATATTTTTCTGTTAAACTGTCATTTCGCTCATATACTAACTCTGTGCCATCTCCATCCTCTTCCTGTGGTCTCAACAGTTCGACTTCTCTCTGGAGAGGCGAAGTGTCCGCTGGGGGGTTGAACTTGCAGAGGCCAGAGCAGCAGAAGCCAGAGCAGCAGAGGACGCAGCCAAGCAGGAGGCGGAGCGCAAGGAGTGTGCAGCGCAGGAAATGGATGGCGGTGGAGGGAAGAAACGGCGGTCCGCTGCAGAGGACCTGGACCTTTTACCACCAGCACTGAACCCTGTCCTTGCAGGATTCAGCCACAACGCCATCCTTACCCCAATGCCTGCCTCGAGCCTTGGCCCCAGGAAAATCCAGCCTAGCATTCCTCAGCTTCACAGACTCAACCTCGCTGACTTTGAGCGGGAGGAGGACCCATTTGACAAGGTGGAGCTCAAAACTTTGGACGATAGGGAGGAGCTCAGGACCATCCTCCAGAGCCAGCCTCAACCTCAACCTCCTTTCTCTGTTTCCCCACCAGAGGTATCCCAGACAGGGTCACGTGGAAACAGCCCGCCTCCCCCGAGCACCAACACCAGCATCACATCCAAACCCGGCTTCACCCATAAACCCAATGGGTTAGTTCCCTTGCTGGACATGGACAGAGTTGGGCACCCTGGGAGATCGAGTTTTGACACAGACGATCGGCCTTGTAACATCCGCTCTCTCACCTTCCCCAAGCTCTCTGACTCTGGTGACCCAGAGCCAGTGAGGTACCCCCCCCACACTGCACCCACCCCTGCTCCCCGACAGAACCTACCCAACGGCAGCCCAACCACCGTACCCAAGACCGAAGTTATCGTTGCCCCTGAGCCAACCAGCCACACCAAGAGTGGCGCACCAAAACCGGTGAGCATTAGATATAACACTGCATAGAGGACTAGTATTGTGGGATACAGATACAGCCGTAGATTATGTCTACACAGTTATAGCAAAATTATATTTTTATCAATATTAAGGTCATGGTTATTTATTACGAATAGTCCTTGATTTTAGCGAGAAACTTTTTTTTTTGGCTTTCACTGTTTTCAAAAAAAACAAAACGGTTTCACTTGTGCTGCTGCAATGTTGCTGATGTACAAATTAGGGCTGCATGATTTAGCAAAAAACATACATTGCGATATTTTTTTTTTCTTCTGCGATATGAAGAAAAACATCAACTCTGCCTTTTTAAGTTGAATGCCTCAATCGGGCACACTTTTGGAAGAAAATGAAGCGGCTAGATAAAATAATTTGTGTATGAAAGTTGTAAAGATATGAATGGTGAGGACATGGCAAAAAATATGGCACTTAGTGCTCCTAACATTCAATCCATCGCGTGACCCAGGTTTCATAGTGTAGATTAACCAGTGATGGTTAATAAGGAATATCAGGAACATCATTGACCTTCATTCATGTTTTTACTCCAGGTCCACCCAGGGTCAGGAAGTGCTGGCCTGCCGTGCGGCGGGGCCCTGCTCAGCATGACCCCCAGCGAGCGGCAGTGTGTGGAAACACTCGTGGGCATGGGCTACTCGTATGAGGGCGTCTTACGGGCCATGCAGAGACAAGGGCAGAACGTGGAGCAGGTGCGGCCTCATCCCGCCCCATGGCGCAGCAATCTGGATTCCTAGCATATTCACTGTTCGATATGTGTATTGTTTGTGTGCTTGTGCAATTATGTTCGATGAAGCATCAGTGCAGAACATCTGTAAAAATATCCTTCACATTTAAATAAAGTTGTTTCATCACAGGTTCTATGGAGTACGTATGTCAGATTGAATTGTATCAGACTGGTTTTAAATGAAGGCATCACAATAAGATATTATAAGATGCAGAGCACAAACACTATAAAGACAACAATAGATAAACCATACCAGACATTGCTATTACTTAATTTAAATTATTTATTTTCTCAAAATAAAACCTTTTGTTGTAACGTGTAATTCAAGCCTCATACAGCGTGCTTATCAAAGCAGATAAATAACGAACATCTATTTATTGTTTGTCTAAGGTACTGGATTACATGTTTGTCCATGGGCGTCTGTGTGAACGGGGCTTCGATTCAAGTGCAGTGGAGGAATGTTTAGAGATGTACCAATGCTCGGAGGAAAAGGTTTGTGCAATCTGTTCTTTAGAAACCTTCATTGGGGTTTTAAGTTGAATAGTTTCAAAAATGTGTAGTCTTTAAGATACAAGCAATACCTCTACAGTACATTGTTTCAGGAAGTAGATCATGTCTATAGATTACATTATATAATCTATCATAGTATTATTGCATTTTTTCATCCTTCCCAGGCCTTGCAGTTCCTTGAGCTTATGTCGAGATTTGGCGAAATGGGATTTCAGCGCGATGCCATCAAAGAGGTGCTGCTGGCTCACAACAATGACCAGGACAAGGCTCTAGAGGACCTGATGGCTCGGGCTGCAGCTAGCTGAGCCAAGCTAACAGCCAACCAAAGCCCAGACAAGGGCCTTGCCTCCCCCGCTACTGCCCAACACAGCCCTTTCCCTTCTGCCGCCCCATCACACCATGCCCTGCCCTTTGCCTTGGCTGTGGAAGGGACAGCTGGGAGACAGTTGTATTTCTCTCTATGCTGTGTCTCAGCACTTCTTAAAGACTGTGTGCCTAGAGTGGAGGGGGGGTCAAACAATACTTTAACGGTGGTGTTAATTTTCTAAGAAGTCATTCGCGTTAGGTTCCAGGATTTTGTGCTGTGAGGGATATTCAAGAATGGGAGGAATGACTGAGCTCTAAAGGAGAAACTGGAAGAATTGGGCTGCAGTCTTTCTATTCCTGTTCCGATTTGCTTCAACTTGGAAGTCTGCAGGCAAAGGACCGAAAGGGGACCTGGTGTGAGACTGAGCACATTACAGACCAGTTTATACACTTAGAACTCCCAATCAACTAAGCTGCCATCTTCCACTACTCTGTGCAGACCTATTATATGGAGGCGGTGGTTTGGGGGGGCTTGAGGAAGCTTTCTTTAACTGGACATGCATTTAAAGTAAAAAAAAAAAAGTAAAAAAAAAGCCTAATCGCCAGGCAGATAACTGACTCTCAAAAAGTGCCCTCTCTGCTCTGGTGCCCTAGTTCTGTTCTACTCTTTCATGCATTCATGTCTGTTTTTCTGTTCATTTGGGTACTTTTTTTCATGTCTTTGATTTCTGTTTTGGGAACTGCATATTAGACGTTTACGTCACTATAACTCGGAACGTAAGAGATACTTCTACCCCAGTTCGCTCTTTGACCTGCACTGGAATAGGGCCTGTTAGAGGGTGAGGAGAAATTGGGAACGTTCCTGTGTAATAAGAAATATCCCATAATCCACTGGCACTGATGTGTCACATACTGCACAGGCACACGTGTTTCATAATTATCGACTTATTTATATAGTTCACTGATACTTTCATTTACAATTAAAGAGTTTGCTATGATAATGTAAGATATGTTAACTCGCTTTTAACTGTCATCGACTTCTGTTCTCAGACTGGAAAGGAGTGAGTGGTTTAAAATAGAAACAAAATGTGAGAGAGGGTTGTTTTTGCAACCACATCACAGTGCAATAGACATTTCTTATTGAGTGACTGTTGACTGGAGCTTTTAGCCTCAAGTAATTTTTCGGGGATGAGGAATGGTCTACAAGCCTTGCTGGAAATGTGGATCTTACTAGAAAAGGTTTGATTTCGGTCTCCCATCATATATTCATTTGCCACAAAATCTAATCATACATGGTTTGTTGACACATCCAATTTCTTTTTTCTCATGTGTAATATGATAGGATTGTTTATGTTGATTTTAGGTGTGTTGCCATCACCACAGTCTTAAATGGAAAATTCCTCATGTTAATTGGGTGTAATTGTTTAAAAGAAGGCCAGGATCCTTTAATTTTTATAGTATGTGTCTAAGTTCCATGATAAGTAAAAAGCGTGTGTGCTCTGTTGCACCAAAGGCAGAAATGGGAGACGTTTCCGTAATAAGGAGCTCTGTTGTCCTGATGGGGATTGTTAGAGGCGTGGTGACAGATTAAGGGTTTAACCAAAAGCAAACTTTGCTTTGGGTGGGTCCAGTACTTTGTCTTAAGTTTATCAATTGAAAAACAAATTGTATTAACCACCAAATTATTTTAGAAAAACCCCTAGTTTGACAAATCTAAATATAGTGCAGTTTTCCCCCAATACAGACTCAATCATTCTCCACTTAATGTACCATTCAAATCAAATGTGTTAGCACGTGCTTTCAGGAAATGAATCTTTGTGAGAATATCTAGAGAGAAAAAATAGAAATATCTCAGTGCTTAAGGGATACACATCATCATTAATATTTCCTTCGATCCATTTTCCAATAGAACAATAGAGGGAGCAGGCAAACAACATCACAAGGTAATGTGTCACGTTGGACCTAGTATCATTAATTAAGCCTGCTGCTTTGTTTGGATACGTGGTTGACGTGATCAATTTCTTTCTTCCTTAATTTACTGTGATAAATATAAAGGTTCACTCACTTTACAGACAAACACACAAGTGGTATTATTGTCGCCTTGCATAACTAAAGCGTGATTTCCTTAATCTTACATAAAGCAAGTTTATGTCCACTTGCCTCTCCTCTGACAGCCACAAAGGTTGGAGTGAATGCAGTATAGCAGGTTATGGGCCTCCTCCAGAAACGCGTCCTCCCGCTTCTGTTACGATGTCCTAGTGATGAAAAGCAACTGGGGCCTCGTGTTCAAGGGTTTATATATCCAATCCTCCTCTAAGCTACAGCATAACTGAACATGGAATGCTAACAAATCTAATGGACATTGAAATATCATAATGGTAAAATAAGAGGTGGCTGAGTTGAGTGTTATTTCTCAAGTTCCTGAAATGTGATTTTCGAAATGTTCAATTTCCTCTTGGATGATTTGGAAACTCCTCACGATTAAATGTGCACATCTTTCCGGTGGTGAGACTGTTGATCGTTGCTGTTGTTTATTTTTTAGCTTAATTTGAATTTGCTTACGTCATGTATGACCACCAGTTTCATGACCACACATTTGAGAGGTGTTGGCATGAAGCTGGGGGAAAAGTATTATCTTTTTTCTCTCTTTTCAGTTTACATCAACAATGCAGGTCTCTCCAGTTGTTGTCCGTGGCAACTAGAAACATGTAGCTGTGTGGCTTAGTCAGCAGAAAACAAGTCATTATGTTTTAGAATAGAGGCCATATTTGGTCTGCCGGAGCTCACCATGGTTAAAAAAAACGGAAGATTACAAAGTAACAAACTATAGCGTCTGGTAAATAGAAATGTAAAGTTAGTGTGATTTTTGATTTCCATTTTAACTTTGTTTTTGTGCTCATGCAAATAAAGGGCACCTTCACAAAAATCTGGTAACGGTAATAAGTAATTGTATTAAGATTGATTTGCTTTAAACTGATACTGGTGGGCTGGCTTATATTAGTGCTCAAGTTCACAACAACAATTGTATTGTGGGAACCATGGAATTTGTCACAAAACACACCCCAAATACATTGATTTTCATTTTAACCTGACAGCTATATAATACAATAGCACAAACGTGATAGCTCAAGATTTCATTGCATTTATATATGACCTAATATTGAATAAGAAAATGTAAAAGCTTACTGTTATTAAATACACATTTGTTCATATAACACTTGTTTAATAATATAGGCATAGGTTAAATTGTCTAAATGTACTATTTGTTTCACTGTAACAAAAATAATGTGCCCTTTTAGATTGCAGGGAAAGCCATTTATTGAAAACCCCATAGACCTGAGAAAACCTAATCATGTGATCAATGAGGTCACGCAGTTGGCGTGAACGAGCACGCATGACGCTTGCTTTTACGTACGACCTTGTTTTTGTTGATGTTTAATTTGAGTGCGGCTGCGCGCTGCTCAATGCTTTCGCCGTTGCTGACGCGACTTGGCAGTAAAAAAGGAAAGTGTGGACCCTCTGGCAGAAGCTAGCGACGTTATCTTAACTGGGAATAGAATACAGCCGGAGTGTAGTTGTAATTGTGATTTTAGGAGGCAAGCTATTGATAGTAAGACAGCGGCGATCTCAACCTGCGGCTCACCAACCTCCCGTATGTGATCGCCCTTGCTCGTCGTCGGACGCTGCCAGCGAGGGCCAAGAAACGAAACAGCATATCGCCATTATATGATCCAGTGTCCAGCGTCGCTTTTACCCTCCATGTGGGTGAGGGAGCTGTGTGTATCAGATTATGGCGAGAAAAACAGTTAGCAGGAAAAGGAAGGCAGGAGAGCCCAAGGACCAACAACAGGTAGGCGGAAACCGGTGCAGATCCAGATTAGCTATCTAACGCTTGTCAGTTATGCTAGCATGCTAACTAGCAATGGGCTAGCCAGGTTTAGCTCATATAAGCCATGTCGTAGCACATTGCTGACATTTTTAACGCAGTAACTGCTAAATTTGATTTGAATATAGGAACAAACCATTCACCAAACCAACATATTGGTCTTGTTTAAACAATAATACAATGCATTTCTGTTTGGACGTGGCTAATGTTTGCATGGTGTTATCCAACGGCAGTCTGTTATCAGCGTTAGCTAAAGGACTAACTACCTCACCTTATTATGGCTATTATTTATTTATAATCACGCTTAAATAACACTTTTCTGGGTGAATAACATTAACAGTTAGTTGTTTTGTTGGAGTAATCCTATGTCACTTTCTAGTCACCACGCAAAAAAAGCATACATCGTCACTGAAGCCGTATTTATCTAGTATTCAATTATTATGCATAGCTTTAGCTATTAAGCTACTGTTTACGATAGCGGAAACGTTTACTAACAGTTAGCTTTCATTGCTAACTTACATAAAACCAACTGTAGATCAGATTGTCCCAAACAGCCGGATAGAATAGACCTGTGCTGAATTGAAAGACAACATTCATCACCAGCATAATAATCTTCCCTATACAATAAATCCTGAGCCCAGTTGTTGACATCTAAAAAAATACAAGTTAATCCCCCTTTTCAAGCCGAAATGATCCTTTTTAGTGTGTCAACATTACCTAATTTGTATGTATAGTAAATAATTAATTTTTGATACAACCGCCACTTAGTCACTTTAAGGTGCGATTTCCCCCTTTTTGTGTGTATGAATTGTATGTTGTACTATAAAATAAAGATAGATACTTTATTGATCCCAAATTGGAAAATTCTTGTTACAGGAGCAGCAGTGTGTTCAGGCATTACAGTATTTAAAAGATGGAATAAAGGATAGACATAATAAAATTAAAATAAATAAATAGCCAATATAAACATAGCTTCAGTAAAAAAAAAAAATAATAATCACAAATAATACACAATGTAAAAATATTCCAGATGAATAAAAATGATCTATAAAAGACCAAAAAAAACAGCAGCCACAGAAATATAGATTTATACTCCAGAACAGAGAAATAATATACATAGGATAGTATATACATTGCAGATGTACACAGTGGCTGTTTTGCAAACTGTTCATGGTTATGGAGAGGGAGAAAACTAAAACCATGAGGCAGTGAGTCCTCATGCATGGTGAGTGTTATTTTGCCGAAGACACAATTCCCTTATATGTAAATGTAATGGACCATAAAGTATTCTGAATATGAATATGCTATGACTTTGAAACAGGTTGGCAGTATTACATACATTAACGATACTAAAGAATCTCCCTCTCACATCAGACACAACTACTAAATACCACAAGGGAAAAGACAATGGCAGATAGCACCACCAATTCATTTTAGATCCAGGGAATAAAATGACTTCTTGTGTTGTTTTCCTCCTGCCCAGGAATGTTCAACAACTTATAATGGGTATTAATATTTAGGCCATCGTGTGCTGTGAATAACTTTAAATGCACAGGGCCGTTTTGATTTTTTTTATACATTTTCATAACAGACTTAGCAACCAGCCAATTTGAGTGGATGGTCAGACTGACTGTTGTACCTGAGGTGATCCTGCTATATACTTTTTGCTGGTGTGTGTGAAATATATTTTTGTTGTATTCCTGGCCAGAGATAATGGGGTCAGTAGGTCTTATGAGGTCAACTGACCGACAACAGGTGCTGTCTGCGCCTGTATGACAGACAACCAATAATGTTGGCCAACCTGAGTAAGATAATATTCAGCACGTTAGTTGCAACGCCTGCATTGACCCTTCCTGATCAAATGTCACTGACTGTGTATATGTACGTTTCTGTTATTATCCTGCCATGATCCACTACGGATCTTAAACCTGTAGCAGTGAGGAATATATATGTGTTGACAGTCCTCTGGGGGATGGGCATGGCTCAGTACAGAAAGCTTGTGGCAATGAAACAGGGATTAACAAAGACAACAAATATACTTAGCTATTAAATTCAATTAAATTATTCTAAGACTGGTTTTATTATTTAACTTAAAGATAGGATAACTCTTTCAAAGTTGTTATTAAAACATCATTATTGATAGCCTGAGAGCATGTTGGACTTTACAGAAGGCCAAATGAACCTTTCTCACCCTCTTTCCTTAGCTGGGCTGGTGTCAAGCACCAAACAAGCGGAGTCGTGTATCTTGTTCATCACGTCATGCCCAGCAGTGGTGGTGCAACCGGCGCTCGGTGGTGTGCGCCCTGCGGGGGCGGGAGTTCAGACCTCAGCAGCAGCATGAGGTGCGGCTCCAGCGGAGCCTCCGGGGCTTTGCAGCCGGCAGGCTCCCCGGCATCCTGAAGGAGAGGGAGTTCTCCCTGGGGAGACTCAACAAGGTGTTCGCGTCGCAGTGGCTCAACCACAGGCAGGTGGTCTGTGGGACCAAGTGCAACACGGTGAGATGTTATTTTGTGACTAACTTGGATTTAATGATTAGGTATACCCATATATTTCAAACATTTGATATTAATGAGAGAACTTAATTGGTAATCAGTAAGGTTAAATGCGCTCAAATGATTCGATTACAGAGAAGGGCATTTCTCTGGTGATTGAAACCGATAGAAGAACCATACCCGAGTTGTGTCTTTTTTTTTTGGGGGGGGGGGGGGGCCCAATTTTCTAATCGCTGTGCATGCAGTATGCCGTCGGACCTGGAAGACCATAAACGTTTTTGAAAACTCCAGTCACGTAGTGATCATCTTCTCAATAAAACATCTTTGCTGATATTTTTTCGAGTCTTCTGGCCAATCAGAATCAAGATTGTTGCCGGAAGTCCCCACGGAGAATAACTTTGTGGTATAACTATTCTTTATACATCCATGGGTACAACTTCAGATACAAATAATGAAATATGACCCCCGGTTTGATGATTGACAGGTCACAGAACAATGGGGGCTATCTACCCTTATCCACAATTTAAAGTAATTCACACAGACTATCTCCTCTTTGCTCTTCTCTCTGTGAGGAGCAGCAAGCTGTCAGAACTAAGTGAAAAACAAACAATGGCATAAAATATTATTAATATGTCGGGTAGTAATAGATTTATTTATTTTCTTCTCAGAGTGTACCAGAATGCATAGTTTATGTTAGTATTTCTAAAAATCTCTAATGGGGGAGAATCCCCCCAGGCCCCCTGCTGGGGTTGGGTTTTCAGCATGTGTGCCTTTTATACAGTTCAGCTTTGATTCCATCATCTCATAAACCTTTTTTAAAAGCATACTCTAGTTCTGTGAAGGGATATATGCACTGTACTTCACTTTAATTAATATTGTGTGCTGAAAAGCGTATGTTACAGCACGAGTGGGTCCCGAGGCCTGACCAGTTGAGAACCACTGGTCTAAACGTTACTGTCAGTGTACAATTATTTACAGCCGATTTGGCTCTAAACCTTTCAAATTGCTTTATTTTTTGATTCAGTAATCTGTCATAAAAGTCAGCAGTGTTTCCCTCTGCAGTGATATAAAGCTCCAGTGCGCCTCCAAATGAATAATATTGAGTTGTTAAATTAAACATAATAGAATTTCCTGATGCAGATAAATGTTTCCACTTTGGTAACTTCAAAATTCAGTCCTTGGTTATTGCTAATCATGTTGCCTTGGTTTCCAGGAAATAACCAGGTTTAACATTCTATCATTTAGTATCAGCATGTATTTTCTAAAAACTAATAACATTATTATTATATCCATGATTTTTTCTCTTAAGTGTTTTCTTTCAATAATGGACACTTATACCTGGCTCAGGTTGTTTTCTTTATGAACTCCTGAATCTATTATTCTAACCAGACGTCTTTCCTTCTTTTAACTGCAGCTTTTCGTTGCGGATGTCCTGACGGGGCAGATAACGCGCATTCCCATGCTAAAGGACAGGGAGTGTACTAGTGGAGGCTCTGGGGTTGTGGGCGCAGTGGTGGGGCGGCAATACCACCCATCAGGGGGCTCTCGTGCCCGGCTGGACCAGCAGGGCTGTGGGATCCACGCCATCGAACTGAACCCTTCCAAAACACTTCTGGCCACCGGGGGAGACAACCCCAACAGCCTGGCCATCTACCAGCTGCCCACACTGGACCCTGTGTGCGTGGGGGATGTAAGTGGTTTGGATCTGATTTGAATTTACTGTCATCCTGTTACAGCTTAAAGGTGCTGATCCTCTCTCGGGCAGTTCTAATTCACTTAGTTTAGATTATTTCAAACCGTGTTGAACTATCTGTGCTCCAGCCACACAGTTTAGGTGCTCCTATAGGAGGGAATGTTGATTACCGTAATTTTCGGACTATAAGCCGCACCTGAATATAAGCCGCAGCAGCGGCATACCACTCTCGGTTCCACTTTTACTTTTGCGCGCTACCTGTCTCACTCTTTTCCGGCCTCCAGCTTTTCCTGCTGGAACCCGCCGCTTAAAGGTGGGGGTCCGCGGACCGGCCATAGAGCCCATAGAGTTAAAGGTGTTGGCCGTTAGCTGTAAAAATCCATAGATTAGCCGCACCGTTATATAAACCGCAGCGTCGAAAAATAGGGAAAAAGGCGTCGCTTATAGTCCGAAAATTACGGTACTCTGTCATATCTTTAGTGAGTTTAGATACCTATCCTGGTGTTCAACCGCATCAGCAGGGGGGCTCTTGTAGGGTTGCGCATAGAAACAGAAATGTTTACACATCATAAGCAGGCAAAACTGTAAAAGTTTAATTGACATTTTAATTAAATCATTACAATAAAACTTAATTGAACAGCAAAATCAAAAATATTTCCTATGAGTCCCTCCAAAATAAAAGAAAGAAAATAATTAGCCTCCCACTCCTACATATGCTGTTCATGGACTTCCTCCGTGTCACATTTTATCTGCATCCCCCCCAAAACTTCACCATTAAATGTATTGCTTGTTTAGAGATTGTGGTTTCAAAAAAGTATATACTGATACTAGAAAGATATTGCGGTAAAAATAGCCAGAACAAATCCATTTGAACAACATTTTTCTAGATACGGTTACAAAAAATGATTGATTGATTCTTTGAACCATCAACCAGAGAGCAGTACAAATGTTACAATGAAATCTACTTTGTTAATATTTCCCAGTCACCATTTAGCATTAGCACATTTTTACCAAAATCACCAAATGTTGTGTGGATTTGCTTTAACAAAGTAGCCATCTGTTTTTTCAGGATGGTCACAATGACTGGATCTTCTCCATAGCGTGGATCAGTGACAACATGGCAGTTTCTGGTGAGTTGTCTACACGAGTTGGCCCGTATGAATGAATACTGCTGTGTAAGCATTGCCCAGTGAGCATTACAGGCCTGCGCAACTCGCTGCCCTTTACACACCCTAATGACAATCCAGTTTATTGGTCACTATTGTATTCTGTTAGTATAAACCCTTTTTAGATGGTAATCACAATATCATTTTGTGTTCATTCCCAGGGTCCCGAGATGGCTCCATGGGCCTTTGGGAGGTGACAGAGGAAGTAATGAGTCAGGCTGAGCGCAGTCAGAATGAGGAGGCAGTCCCTTCGTACGCCCACATCTCCCATCGGGCCCTCAAGGACATCCCCAAGGAGTACACCAACCCATACAACTGTAAAGTCCGCGCTCTGGCCTTCAACAACAACCATAAGGTAGAGTTCCCCCTGAAGGAAATCACATTTGGTGTCAGTGAAATATTTCTAACAATGATTAATATATTCAGTTCCAGTTTTTAGGAAACACAAGATATGAGAAATAGATCATTTGAGCCTTGAAGCTTTATATAATTTAACACAAATAATGAATGTTCAAAATCAATTAGCTGTTGAGATTGGGTTACAAGAATGTGTTTGGACTTTGTTTAAAGTTGAAACACATCCTGCTTACCTCCACTAAATCAAAATCTGGCTAAACAGATTGTGTGGCAAACTGTAATACAGTTGTGATCCATTTAAGTCATGTGTGACAACTTGTCACTGACCTAGCGACAAATTGGAGATTTGTGGTTGCCCATATTTAATGCTGTGAAGCCGGCAGAGGATTGAAATATGATACAGGAGTGGAGGATTTGATGCATTTCTTTGAAAGTGGGTTACCAGAGAAGTCAAGCCTACAGGTGAAATGTGGGCTCCGCCTCTACACTCATTAGTTTCAGTTATTCACTTCTGTCTTCCCATTTGTTTTTTGACCATTTTCAGGAACTGGGTGCTGTGTCTTTGGATGGTTACTTCCATCTCTGGAAAGCAGAGTACAACTTGTGCAAGGTAAATTAAAAATACATTGTTTGACTATTAATAATGCCGTCTGTGTCACCAGACTGGAAAGTATAAGCGTCCCATTGGCCGTGTATTTCACGCTGCATTCTCTCTCTCTTCAACTATCTACATGTTATCTACCCTTTTTGCAAAGGGTGCTGTCGCTTCATCCTAAACTCAGTGCAGCCAGATGACTATCAGAGCAGATCATTTTTTCCACTGTCAAAGGAGATTAGATTAGATACACTTTATAAGAAGGATGATAATGGGCCATCGCTAAGGACTAATAATTATGTGATGCATTTCCTCTAGAAACTAAATTCTAGTGATTCATTTAGCTAGTGGAGAACACTTGCAGCTTCCTGCTGTTATATTGTTTTTGTTTAATGCCAGTGGAATTTAAATATGAGATCAGCTACCAACCAAAATATGACATATTCCTCTAACATTTTTAGATTTTCTTACATTTACACAGGCAGCTAGGCAGGTTATTACACGGTTAGCTCCCCTGCTTGCCTGTGTCATTTCTAGCAACATCATACACAGATAGTAGCTCACCTGTTAAGCTATAAGAGGTCAGAAACAAACAAAATCAAAGTACAAATATTTAAATTGAGCGGTGTGGCACATCAAGTTGGGTGACATTGCTCTCTCCATACAACACATAATGTTATTAAATGCTGATCAAGTGACGGCAGCTTCACGCTACTGTGTTCAAACTGTATCAAGAAAAAATGACTGTTCTTGAAATCATCCTTACTTGGTTTCCATTTAACATTCATTCCTCTAGATCCTGTCCACCAAGCTGCCTCACTGCAAAGAGAATGTGTGTCTGGCATACGGACAGGAGTGGTCGGTGTACGCTGTGGGTTCTCAGGCCCATGTTTCCTTCCTGGATCCACGGCAGCCTACACACAGCATCAAATCTGTCAATTCCCGAGAGCGAGGAAGCGGTAAGTGACGCCTACAACTCTAAAAAATAAACTATTGGCACAATTAGAGAGCAGCTGACCTCCCTAACTGCTTCTGGAAGATGTGTACAAAGGAAATACCGCTGTTTACTTTCCTTTTCAACATATTCACACTTTTTAATGATACATTAAGTTGTAAGAGATATATCCTCGGTCTTCTTTCAATGGCAACCGGTGTTCTTCTTACTCTTTGAACCTCTTTACATTGAAACGTCTGTCTGTGTTTGCAGGGATCCGTTCAGTGAGTTTCTACGAGCACATTGTGACAGTGGGCACCGGCCAAGGTTCCCTACTCTTCTACGACATCCGGGCCCAGAGATTCCTGGAGAACGCTTTGAATCCAGCCGGAGGGTACCGGAAGTGCCCTGGAGATGGTATCCTCAAACTCTCCACAGGGAAAGGCTGGCTGGTAAACATATTTGTCTTTAATAAGCTATTCATATTTGAAAAACAATTATAACCATCTTCATAACTCTTCCTTCCTTCATCCCTCACCTATATCCTCCCTTTCTTGTCTCCAACTCTCAGAATCACGATGAGACGTGGAGGAGTTACTTCTCGGACATTCATTCCTTCCCCAACGCGGTGTACACGCACTGCTACGACGACTCCGGCACCAAGCTGTTTGTAGCTGGTGGACCTCTCTGTTCGGGTCTGCATGGGAACTACGCAGGCCTGTGGAGCTAGCCTCTGTGTCCTCCATCGCCCTATCACTACATCCTCAGCCATCCCCTCCCTCTTCCAGTCTGTTGACATCACAGTCTTTGGAATCCCCCTTGCTCACCTCTGTTTTGCTCTCACGTGGACTCAGGAGCATGATCTTGCACCCCACAGTATCACGGCTTTGAATATCGTTATTGTGTATGTTAAAGTTTGTGTCCACTCTCCCTTTCTCCTCCAATTATTCCTTTGCTCCTTTCACCTCAGCTACTCAGTTGTTGTTTTGTTTTTTTAATGAAAATGTAAAAACAATTAACTGCGGATTCTGCCACAGAAGAGCTCGCAGGAGAAGCATTAAGAGTAAAGTAATACAGGTTCTCATCATTTAAAACATCCAACCCGCAGGGATAATGATATGGTCCGGTTTGCTTTTGTATTTAAGGATAGTGTTAACCGCTGCTTCCTCTCTGATAAAACACAGTGTCTTCGTGAAATACCTGTGGATGATTTTTGGAAATAGTTCCTTTCCTTTCTCTCACTGAAATGGACGGCAATAAAAGAGAGGGCGAGGTGAAGGAGGACTGAAGAGCGAGCTCATTTTGCAAGACTGAACCAGAGTGCAGTTTGATATTTGATATGAATATTAACTGGAACAGCCTGTCCTGTCCCGCAACAATCACAAACAACTTCTCCTTTCTCCTGATTGAGAAGTAAAAAAATGAAGCCAATCAGAATGAGACTTTGTGTTCATGTGTTCTCAATAAGATGATGTAAAGGAGAAACATTAAGATTGCTCAATGCAATCTTCTGCTATGAAATAATCCCATCAAAAGCATATTTTATTTTCTGACCGTGTGTGATTTGAAAGGCATTCCCCTGCTGATATTCTAATTTGCTTTATTTTTTTATTTATTTTCCCCTTTCTCTGCCACCTTTACTCAGTTGGTCATGGGTGTTGATATCTCCTTCTTTTGAAGGATATATTTTCTCTCTTTGCTTATGTTGCTTTTCTTTTAGACCAGAGAATTTATACAAAGTTGAAATTTAGGAACAAGTTAAGAATCATCAAATATGATTGATAGCTAGAGGAGCCCCCCTCATGATTCTGGGACTGCTCCACAGGAACTTGAGAGAAAATCTGTAGTAGCTCACTGGTCTTCTTAACCACCCATCAGGAAGGTTGCAAGGAGAACTAATGAAACCGTTTCGACTCTACACTGGAGTTAGTTGCTGCAGGCACATCATTTTAATGTTACAGTTGTACAACTTAACTTTTTCCTCTTTTTTTGTATCAAGGAGTGAGCTGTTCTGCTCTTTTCCTTGTTTGTTAGAGAGTAGGCTCGAGTTACGTTTGGGCCTTCCTCAGGTCTTTCTGTGAAAGACTGACACAGGCGATCATAATTTCCTTTTCTACATGGAACTTTTCTCCAGTTTTCATGATAATGACATATTGAAAAGAGAAACCCCAACTATGACCACAAATTGAACAAAAAAACCAACACTTTTAAAATGCATTTTATATATAAATGTGTGTATGTGAAAATACATAGGGACAATTGCATACATTTTTATGTATATGTCTGAGGAAGTGTGTGGATTATGTCTACTTGGTGATGCCCTGTTTTTTTAATACATGCCTCATGAATGTTTTTACAAATGACTAAATCTGAGGATATTGTAAGATAAACATCTGGAAAAAAACAAGCTATAAAATCTTTAAAAAGAGTAAATAATAAAAATAAAATGTATATTGATGTAATGTTTATTTTTTATGTTTGACGTTATTTATTCAATGGAGAGATTTCCTCGAATTGAACGGATCACTGCTGATTTAGATTCAATGGAAGTTTTCAAAGGTCTCTTTGGTAGGCCAGTCTGCATTGTGATCGAATATTCGATTAATTGTCTAGCGGTGTGCGTATATTTAGACATACATATACAAACCGTATGTCTAGTTCGAACGAGGTGTGTCTTTCCAGTGGTAGAATATAACTAAGTACATTTACTCAAGTACTGTACTTATAAAATACATTGTGGTACATGTACTTCAGTATTTTCACATTATGCTACTTTATACTTTTACGCGACCACAATTTGTGGGCACATGTGGTCTTTTTTTATTCCACAGCAGTAATTTTGCACATATAGTTACGTTAATTATTTGGATTATTAATAAAAAAATATAAATGGACTAATACATTTTTGGGCTTGTTTATTTGTCCAGCTACCCAGCAGTGTACAAAGAAGTAATCAAAATAAACCCTATATTTACCCAGCTCAACATTGAAGTGATGAACACATTAATGCACCAATAATTATAATACAACAATTTAAAAATAACAGGTGCTTAAAGGAGCCATTCTGCATAACAAATACTTCTACTTTTGGTATTTAAAGTATATTTAGAAGCCAATACTTGACTTAAGTGCAATTTTGAATGCAGGTCTACTAATACTTGTAACTAAGTATTTTTACACTGTAGTATGGCCACTTTAATGTAAGTAAATATTCGGAGTACTTCTTCCACCTCTGTGTTTCATGGGGAAGGTCGTTAGGAATTTAGTTGTGACCCAAGAGGAGAGGGGAGCATCACCACCACGGCAGGGCACATCACGTGACCACCTTGTCTGCTGCTGGCCGAGTGAAGCGTGTTAGCAGGTAATAAAAACACAATTTTTCTAATGTTTTACTAAGTTCACTTTCTGTATCACAACGCGTTTAAAATGCGTATTTAAACGCCTACTCGCTGAAATAGTTGTTCGCTGGCTTCGTTGTTTATCCGGCGCGGGGTTGTTAAGGATGCAATTTTTCTGTTGTCTTGTTTCCCGGCGAGCAATGTCGGGATGGGATTGTGCCCCGCTGAGAGGCCTTTTTTCTTCAGATTTAACACCGATATGTTGTTAGACGTCAAGCCTGTTGTTTATTTGTTCGATGACGAGTCTGATGTAACCGCCAGCATCGTTAGATAACTCTACGGATCTATAAATACGGATAAGACACGAGCACGCCAGTTAGACGGCCGTTGGCTATCAACTTGGAGCAGATTTAGGTAGCACCGTTAGCTAGCTCATCCCCGCTGCTCAGTATCGATGCTATGGTGTCAGCATTAGCACGTTAAAGCTAACACGAGTCTGTGCTAGCGAGGACAAAGGGACCACAATACCAACAGCTCAAAATCGGTCAGTGTTGAGTTAAAAAAAAGGATGCTACGAGAACATGCTTTTATTTTTGCAACAAATACACGGAACGTCAACCGTTACAGAGTAATATGTAGAGTCAAGTAATAAGTAACATGATAGCAACATGCTAACGTTAGCATCGGTTCATAACAACGCTCCGCTTGGTTTATTACTAAAAAAAACGGTAGCTAGTCAATTATTTGTAAGATGTTACCAGGTAGATTTTTATATATGTTGACACGTTATATTTTACATAACTGATATTTATTTGTCACTGTACACGTAAATGTAATGAACAAGATATGCGTTACTCTGTCATGGTTTGTTGTTGTTTATCTTTTAAGAATGTCGAGACTCATACTTGTAATGATGTGTTATAATTGTATTATTTGAGTACAAAATACTGCTACTGCCGTAGGTATTTCAATATTAAAAAGAGGTTTAGATTTTTCACTGAAATCACATTTTATGCCAGTTCGTCCTTTTGCACAAGCTTTGTTCAGAGCAGCAGCCAATGGCAGCAGTGCATTTGGCAACGTCACTCAGACACTGTAAACTGGATTGCTATTGTTCTCACACATAAAACAAATGGGTCACTGGGGATATATGTAGGTATTATTCTAGTACCCACCTTAGTCAAAGCTTGCAACTCCAAAAGTACAACGTGTTGTTCTTTTGTTATTTTACGGAATTTAGCAATTCCCTTTTCCATATAGATGCAGGTGGATAAAGCCCTGTGTGTGCAAAGGGTTTTAAGAAGTGTTTAATATTTGCTACTGAAATTATTAGTTCTTACTAGTCTATAAGGTATCACAGCCAATTTGCATCAACTTACAATTTATGCAGGAGAGGATTAAATATTCTACTGCGGTTTGTGTGTGTGTATGTGTGTTTTATAATCTGAGGCTGTAAACTATGTAGCGTGTAACGGGGCTTTGAGGTCAGGGTGTGTGGTGTTTGTTCTGCTTCACACCCTTTGGTCTGTGATTTTTGTAAGAGGACACTAGGTCGCTTCTCCTCCTCGACCCAGATTCTCAGCAAAGCTGGTGTGGCCCACTGCTCTTACAGCCTTCATAAGCAGTATTCATGATTGTGCAATACAGCTTTGCTATGCTCACAACACATATTTTTGGTATTAAGCACTTCGTTCTTTCTATGCACTCGTACATGAGAAAGTATCAAGGCTCTGCTCTAACATCATTGTAAATGAAATGCTTGTGTTTGCAGAACTGTTGGTTGATTTCACTCATCCTTCCACACTTCTTGTTTCCTTTTTTGCAGATTTTTCTATTTTGTACATACAGAGTTTTGTATATACTGTATATGATGAGCTCGCTGGGCGGCGAAAAGGCCCGGGGCCCTCGGGAAAAAGCGCTGCCTGCTGCTACTCAAACATCACAACCACAAAAACAGATACAGGTGGGCCACCGCAACCACATAAACGTGAAGAAACTGAGTGAAAGCACACTGCCTTAAGCCACAGAGATTTTGAAACAATACACCAGTGTGCAGTGCACACGATTACTCTTGCCAACAAAACCAGAGTGCACACATTATGCAAGGAGACCTCCTTTATCACTATTGAAAAGGATCTACATTAGCTTTTAATAGGGACAATCGTAGGCCCTTGCTTAGTAACAATATAGTCAAATACATACCTCTCTATCTGTGTTAAATATAATAAATGTTTGGTTGTTAAGTAAGATTTTATGGCTGACAAGGAGTGAAGATATTTCGTTCTTACATTTGTTTTCTCCTGTGAACCAAAAGGCTACAGCTGAGCAGATCCGGCTCGCACAGGTGATCTATGACAAGAATGATGCGGACTTTGAAGGCAAAGTTAACCAGGTGAGGAACACTACTGGTGCTGTGTTCACACCAAACAAACCATCATGTGTTTATTCATTTTACATTTTCTGTGGCTTAAATGAGTTTACTGCAGTGGTTTGAACCCATATACACCTTCATTTAGTTGCAATGAATGGATCAAGAGAATGCTGAACTAACTACATCCTGTTGCTGGTTTGTAAAAATTCTGAATTCATGCTTAGTCAGGTCTGTCCCAAGTTGACACCACATTTTGTTTTCTGAATGGAGTTCACATCCATCAGTCTTTACTCACGTTGTAGCTGTCAACTAATATGGCATCAATATTATTTTTACACCCTGAGAAGATATCTACATGCTATGTACTTTAAAATCACTTAAAACAACAACGCAGAATTTCCAATACAAAGTGTATTTGTTGCTTTCCCCAGCTGATGGAGGTGACTGGGAGGAACCAGGATGAGTGCATGGTAGCGCTCCACGACTGCAACGAAGATGTGAGCAGAGCCATCAACTTTCTCCTGGAGAGCACCTCAGACATGGTAACCACACCATGTTTTATGTATTCCCTTTGTTACACTTCTCATTAGGGCTGCAACAAACGACTCATTTGATAATCGATTAATCTATCGATTAATGAAACGTTTAATCGACTATTCTGACTATTATGCCTTGCACAATTTCTCAAACGCTCTTATTTAGCCATCCAGTTTTAGATGTAGCTTGAGGTTGTTGAAGGCATGTGGAAACTATCAATGAAGACAATAAAGATGAATACTTGATTCAATAATACATATATTATTAAATTAACTAAACAAATTGTGAATCAAAAGAAACAACAATGTTTTAACAAATCATATTAAATCATGTGAACTGTAAACAGAATAGCTGAAACTTAAAAAAACTAAATAACTCAGTTACCTCTAATCATTAACCCATGTTTGTATCATTGAGTTAACTCCGTGTGTTGCTGCTATGCTAGCATACATAACACCTGACGTGGAAACATAACTCGTGGATGGGGGGGCTACAGAGCTACTAGAAAGACAGTAGAACCCGGTGCATTTCTCCGTCTGAATGTGGTGCACTTTTGCTAAATGTTTAGACAAATTGCTCGTGTTACCGCCCTTACATGCTAAACTCTTATTGCACTTTTGGCAACGAGCATCGTCCACATCGAGACATTTAACCACACCTTGGAGCGCTTAGTTCTCTCTGCCATCCCCGCGGTGTGTGTGTGTGTGTGTGTGTGTTGTTGCTGCATGTAGCAGCCGTGTGTGTAAACTGCCCCGCCCCCTCGCACACAGACGGCGGAGAGAGATCTCTCGTCTGGATTGGAAAGATCATTGGAATACATCATACGTTTTTATTTGCATTTTTTTTGTCTTTTTGCATATTAGAAACGAGTTGGCGACACTAAGACTGCGATATAATGTTTATGTAGCAATAATACATATGACATATTTTTGTAATGTCTCCTGTACCGATAAAAAGACCGATAACGTTGGAGCTTAACGGCAACTAATTTGGTCATCAATTTTAATCGATTAAGTCGATTAGTTGTTGCACCCCTACTTCTCATACTAGCCTGTGTTTTTTTCAACAATATTTATTTGCAATTTCAGATAGTGTGAATAGATTTATTTTGCTTGGTAGACAGAATATGCGACGGCCCAAAACGGTAATTGATTTGACTGAAATTGGTATTTTAAATTAGAAAGATGGATGATGAGCACATGGACTGTGAACATAAGTGAGAAAAATCATTCATGCTCTACATTTGTAATCATACTCGAGCTGCCACAAATCAACCAGACCTTCTTTTAACATGTTAGAGTAAGAAAAGCACAGGTGTAATACATAACCTTAATTATGGCTGAATTCCATTCATCTCAAATGGTTCAATAAGACTGGCATTGTGTGCTGTCGCGGCTTAAGCCCCGTATTGTTAGACTTTGAATAATCACTAAGTAGCTCTGTTGCTCGCATCACTTTTTTGTCTAAGACGGTTGGCCTTTTGAAAGTAAGGTGAACAAACTAAAGGACAGATCTCAGACCGAGGACACGTTTCCAAGGGGAACGTTTAAAGGGGAAAAAACACTTGTGTTGTTCTGCCAAGTCCGAGTGAGTGTCCCAACATTTGTGATGCATACCAGCCGGCACAGATGGCGACTAGAGGCTGAATGGCAGCCGGCCAGACAGCTGCCCTGCTTGTTGTTCAGGTTTTGAGGAACTCCAAAAATAACAAATAACTGTTGTTATACTATGCAACCCTCTGATAACAACTTCTTCTACTGAACTCGTCAAGATCATGACCAGCGCAAACAAAGGAGTGGCCTAATAATACATGAGTCAAACATTCACTGTAGTTGCTAAAAAAGTTATAATTAGTGTTTTGATTTTGAATATCTTCAGCTCACAGGTCCCAATCACATTCTTTTTTTCTTCCTGCATGCAGAACAGAACCCTTCAGACAAGTTGGTCGAAAATGTCCGGCATCATAGCTTTTCTGTAACTGTTTCCAGGAATGTTTTTGTAGCGTCTGGTAGCGTTGCTTTATCCTCTTGGTCAGAATACACACAGGCTAAACCAACCACAGAATGCAAGAGGCTCCGTCTGCACTATACAACTCTGAAATGTGACTAACGGAGACAAAGATGACATTTTTGTTTTAATTTAAAAAGTGCATAGTTTACTTACTAATGTATACTGCCCATGTTTTTAGACCTCTTGGGAGACGGTAGGGAAGAAGAAACCGCTGGTGAAGGAGGGTCCGTCAGACAGCAAGGAGAACAAGGAAAACAGGGAGAAGAAAGGAGAGAGGGAGGCGAGCAAGGGCCGTGGGGCTGCCAACCGCAAGGGCAGGGGGGCCAGCCGCAGCCGACCGGGTACGGAGGATAAACTCTACATTTATTTCATTCTGACTTTCCTGTCTCCTTCTTTACAGTATCATTACTGCAAATCCCTTTTTCTCATTTGATGTGCACTTGTGTTTTGAACGCATACAGTGCGTCCAGAGGAGAATGGGGTGATTGAAGTGATGCCCGTGGACAGAGGTGCAGATCGAGGTCGCAGGGCCAGAGGTGCGGGACGAGGTGAGCAGTGAGCACTTGAAAACGCTTTGTTAGTACCCCCAGCGCTGTAGTGGACGCTGTTGACCTTTTTGTGAATGTTACGCAGGATCTGCAGGATCTGGAGGTCGAGGCCGAGGCAGAGGACCACCAGGGACCCGGTTCTCGGCCCAAGGCATGGGGTATGGTGACAACAAGCACGTACATGGGTTTTGTAATAGAGCATGGACAATATCAAAATGGCAGTTAGCACAATATTTGATGAATGCAAAATATGTGAAAATATAAAATCACTCTGAATGAAGTATTGTGGTGCTGCAGATAAGTACCGGCCTACTAATGGTATTCTACAGACGTAAGAAAAATCCTTGTTTGGTACAGATCCCCATCAAATATATATTGTTAATAGGGGTGTAACGGTACACGTACACGTACCCGTACCGAAATTATTCGGTACGGGCCCTTCGGTTCGGTACACATGTGTACCGAACGAATATAACGTTAAACGTAAAAAATTGAGAACGTGAACAACTTTTTGGAAGTAATCTCAGGTGCTGCGTCGCAGCATTCAGAGTAATTTGCTCACATTGGGTTCAACGCGTCATAGAGCGAGCAAGTCATTTAATTGGACGAGAGGCATACTATGAGAGCTGGTCACAGGGATGCGTTCAAATTTAGTCAGTAATTTGAGGAACTGTCGAAATGGCGAACGCAGATAAAGTTGAGCTCTAAAATCCTCCAGCATCATTGAAGTCTCCGGTTTGGGAACATTTTGGTTTCNTATACATTAAATAAATCAACAGTATAGTGGCGATATATGCTCCAAGTGGAAGAGATCAAATGTGCGGAGTTCTTCTTCTTCGCTTTAATGGCGAATCGCTTCCACTTGGAGCATATATCGCCACTATACTGTTGATTTATTTAATGTATAAACTGCACATATTGTTCATGTAGAACAGTGTTCACGTAAGCCTGCACATTGATCTTATTTCAAATTGAATATAACCGTTTCAATAAGGATACATCTATTACAGGTTGAGGTAGAAACCATGGTGGAACAGCTGATAACAACAGTCTGCAGAGTTTAAAGCGATCAAGTCTTATTACAGGATAAAGGAAATACAGTTTAAACTGCCGTTGCAGTTCAAATCACCGACTGTGTGAACGTGAAAATGAATACAATATCACCTCCCATCTGCAGAGCAATCTGACTATTATAACTATTATTATACTATTATGTTAAGAAAGCTTAATTAAATATCCACCACAACATAAGTAACCGGATCAAAATAACATTACGTAGCCTACAGTCCGCGGCACTGTGAGTGCAGACGTCAATGTGTCCCATTATCATTCATATCACATCATAATGTATCATATATTTCCTTATCTGAGTCAGCTTCTTGAGCCGTATCTTGCCGTGCAACACTCACAGTGTCACATACTGTATGCAGTAGTATTATTTTAAGCAACACATTAAGTTGACGAAACACTCGAGTCAAATTTAATTAAAGTCAGATCCACTCTTAGACGGGGCAGTGATATCATAAAACTGTTAATGTACGCATTCAAACACTTTTTCTTTTACCAGCTGTATTCACCTTGCAGGTGCAACTATGTGGCTTTTATCCTGGATAAAGTGTTTAAGTCATGGATGTTTAAAGTTTAACTTCTTCATATGTCTAATATTATAGTTCACTTTTCATTCAGGAAGTATGACGCTGCGCTGTCAGTACGCTTCTCCATGTTTGTGATTGGTCGAATGCTCCAGGTACCACCCCTTTTATGTGAACGCGCACCTAACTAGATAGGACACGGCTGGCTTGAGCGAACGAGTTGATAGCCAGCGTTGTAGGACAGTTTAGCGAGACCGGGTTTGTTTTGGATTAAGTCAACCGGTTAACTCAGTTACCATGGAGATCTAGCCCGCTAAGAAGTGAACCAGCGTCGTAGGACCGGAAACCCAGAGTTTTCCCTGAAGTTAGCCCGCTAAGCGAGAATCCGGCTTCGTCGTACAGGCCTCAGAGCCTATAAGGATTAACGCCATAACATAAACAGAATAGCTACAGCGTAATTATTGGAAATAAAAATAAAAAGTCCCAGTCCCTGCCGGCATTGCAATACACAATATATTACATAAGAAATAAGGAAGTAAAATAATGCAATAAAAAAAGAACGCAAGGGATACAATGGTGCAAATAATGCAGGAAAAGGTAGAATATGTGCATGTTTACATGGAATAGGATACAATATAATGTGAAATCAAATACTGTAGATTAGTATAAAAATATGTGGATTTGTAGATGCCTCGAAGCATTTCACTGCAGCACAAAAATGAAGATATTTCCTGTGCCTGACTAACCTGTGAGTTCGCCAGCATAGAGTTGCAGTCTGGGAGACAGAAACCGACAGGCAGGCCCACTTTGGCCGGGCAGCGGAATTTGTCATTGATCTTGAAGGGAACTTCATCAAGGTAGCTGATGGGTCCTGTGTAAAACAGAAAGAAAGAAGTAAGCAAATATTAGAAAATTAGACAGTGGACCTATAGGTACCAGCAGATGTTAAAGCAAAAATTCAGTCACAACTTAAAACAGTCAAAGAGTGAAACAAGAAAGCATTTAAAATAGGTCCTCACCATTGTTGTATGCATCTGATCCAGACTTCCTCGCAGCCATTTAGAGACTGAAAACAGACACGAGAACACCAGGTGTAAAGTTAATGAACAGTGGGAGTTCCATTTTTTTAAATGTCAAAGAGTGTTAATACAAAACACACCATGCTTCAACAGTGTAAAAAAACACTTTGACTGAGCTGATAAATTGGTCCTACATAACAGAAGTAATGCACACTGAAACTTTTGTACATGGTAGTGCAAATTCTATATGATTCACGATCCCATTGGCTTTTTACATTCAACTGCTTTGAATCTCAAGTTAAAAAAAACTGTTATTTGGTCATGCTGAGCAACAATGGCTGACATTATGAACACAGAGAAGCCTCTGTTTTCACATCCCCTGAACAATGTACTCTGATGTGGCTCAGACTGATGTTCAGAAGAAAAACTGATAGATTTGATCCCATTATACACAGCTGCACGGCCAAGGGCTGAATTGTTAGTCAAGAAATCACTTCAAGTTTCAATTAGCTACATTTTAGATAAACACTGAAATGACTCACTTATATATGATTGCTTTAAAGCTTAACTCTACGGCTGTTTGCTTGCTCATTTGATTCAATCGAAAATATCTGATTATTCACACAAGGAAACCCACCCAGCAGTAAAGGAAATTAATGGATGGCTGGTGAAGAAGTTTGAACATCGAGCATGCCAAATAAAGACAGATAATTTTCTATGATGACTGGGGCGAGATAACGCGTTGTTCTGTGTCTACTGGACATTTAGATGGGAAAGAGTCACTTATACATTAGCCATTACAAACTGATAGACACATAGTATAGAGCTAGATGTTCTTTTAAAAAGTCATTTATTCTATAGTGTATTTGTAAAAGATTCACCAAAGAGAGACTGATATTGAATCTCTAAGGACCCTTAAATATGGCAGTGGGATTTATTGTTTCACAGATAAAGATTGTTTTACTACCCAGCCTGTTTATAGCTGATATCCAGTCACAGCTAAATAAGACGGATGAAATGAGTATCAGTTGGACAAAAGAAGGACTCTTTGTTTAAATCATTGCTTGGTGCTCAAAGGTCAAAGTTATTGGAGAATATTTACCTGATGTCGAAATGTTAAGATGTTGGTGATCTTATCTGGCCCACTAATCTGCCTGTCTTGTTGCTACGGTTATTCCTCTAGATGCAAATACAAAAATGACCTACTGTTTTGTCGTGTGCAGCATATATCGACAACAACAGCATTATGTTGTGCGGAAAATAATAATGTAATCCTTGAAAGGGTCTAAATACAATCAAAGTATTGGAAATAAAACCCTGTTATCAGCCTCACTGCTGAAGATATTGATGCATTAAGAGCCTTTTTCTGAAACAATAAGTAGCAATACACAGCAGTCTGTTATAAAAAACTGCCATCTACTGCTAAACAGTAACAGCATCTACAAACCAGTGGCAGGGCAGCACACATGTGAACCTCTGGCTTTAATTTGCAACAGGCAGGTTAATTGTACTACACTAACATGGGAGCCATCCACCGTTCATTAGCCCCAGTTTCGAGTTTAGTCATCATACTTGGCACTAGACTACATCTCACTAATCATGAATGACCATGCAAATAGGCCACACGTGATCAAGAGGTGTCTTGTGATCGGTGGGGACTTCTATTATCAGATTTCTTAAAATGGTAATATGACTTGTATTTAGTAGTTACACTATTGTTAGTTTCTTATAGTACAGTAAGGCATAATATTATGTAACACCCCTCGACCACAAGTTTCTGTTCTGCGTAGCTTTTTTTCACAAATAAGTACTTACTGTACTCAAGAGTACATTATTAGTGTTTTGCATATCAGCGACAACCAAAACAGAACAGGACAACTTGCCAACGTAGTTTTGTTGTGTTTGTTAGTTTGTTAAGGGTGTGAACTCTTTTTAACTTTAAAACAATAACGAAACCATCGCAGTTACGACTGTTCAGCAATCAGGCAAGTTTACGGTAAAATTGTAATTGTCAAGACTCCCACTTGTCAAATATTTACTAGCAGATGCATTGATGTACGTACATTTATATTTATTGCCTGGTGTTATATAGCCAAGTTATGATACTGTTAATTAGCAACAAGCTAAGCTATTATTATCTTTGGTCACTCTCAGCTCACCAACAGCGAACACACAGTGACAGTTTAGCGAAGAAGTCAACATCGGGTGTGTCATTGTTTTGTATTGGTGGAATATTAACAATCATTGACAACAACCATAAGCTGCTGGCTAGTGTTTTTGAGGAAAAGCTAGGCTCTATGCTAATACGCGTAGCTTCGCCAGTGGCCTGTCTGTAGTGTTGTGTGTCTGTACGACAGACCGCTGTCTCTGCTGCTGACACCGCCCCTGAAACAAAACTCAGCTCACATATAAATCACAGACTCCTCTCACCTGTATCTGCCCCGTCTTTTTTTTTTACAAAATGCAGACGACGTCTTGTCGAGGTGGCACTCAAATGTAAACTATGCTCCGGGAGAGTTTTATTTTAACTGGAATCTCTTTCCTGCTTCAGCGTGGGACGCCATCTTGATTTGTCAAGCTCCCTTCCACTGGTTCCTGTCTGACGTCACTCGCCTACATGATGTCACAACCATACAACCCACATCCAGCTGTGTGAGTGGCATGGTGAGTGGTGTCAGCATACTGAGGTGTTTCTTTTTAAAGACAGGTAGCAAATTATTATTTCAATCAACACTTTGTTTTTGAATAATGGTTTAAATGGCATTGTATTACAACATCTCGGACAACAACAACCCGGTTTACATTTTTGCGACTGGCTGCTTATTCGTTTTTGCACTACCCAACAACAATGTTATAAAATAAAAAGGTGCAGTAGGCCTACATAGGCGTCATTTGCTCTGGGGACGCTTGGGGACATGTCCCCACCACTTTTTGAAATGGCCAATTGTGTCCTCACCACTCTTTAAAAGTTTAATTTATAAATGTTCTGAAAAATAGCGTGCACAAAGAAATGTAATACACAAGAATGTTCTGGTTCAGTGTCAAGATGTGCCATTTGGACACCTAAGTAAACTTTCAGTAGAAAATGTAAAAAAAAAGAGTAGCAGGACGCCTAGTTTACATAATTTATAATATAAAATATATACTGACAGGATTGGTTTGAAGCGAATGGAATACATAACCTTTTTTTTCGCCTCTCGGAGGTGGGTGTATGGAAGCCCATTTCCGCCTCTTAAAAAAATAATAATAATGAGATAGAAAGTCATAATTATGAGATAGGAAAGTCGAAATAATAAGATAAAAAGTCATAATAATGAGATAGGAAAGTCGAAATAATAAGATAAAATGTCATAATAATGAGATAAAAAGTCATAATTATGAGATAGGAAAGTCAAAATAATGAGATAAAAACTCATTATGTGAAACTTTGTCACAACAGACAAACTAGCAGCTCTCCTATTTATCTTGACACGGAAATGGATTGTGAGTACATTAAGGACTACTTTAAACGTGGATTTACAACCGATGATATTTTGTACTAAGCAAACGCACCCTTGAAAGGAACTGTGTGTTCAAGGACTTCCCATGTGATGAAGATGTGTTCCATATCTTTGTGGATCTAATGTCAGAGTATAATCTGAAATTAACAAATGATGTGTTTGAAACCGTTAACCTGTATATTGCGCTCGGACAACTGATGGACAATGAACTACTAGATCATTAACTTTACTGGGCCAGTGTCACAATTTATATTTCAGAAATGTGTATTTGTTTCCTGTTTCATTCCAGGACAAATTGAAATATATATACTGATTGCAATTGTCAGAATTATAATATACTTTAACCTGTGATGAATGAAAATATAATTGTAGCTGTTTGAGACACGTCAAAGATGTACCAAATATTCTCAGTACATATGTTTGTATGTACATACAAACAAAGTAATGTGTTGCCCTTGGATTGACTATGTGTAAGAACAGGATAAAAATGCAAAATCCACACATGTATTAATTGAATTATTTATTGAATTATTTAAACAAATAGCATATAAATTGCTGTTTTCATTTTGACTGCATTTTAATCTGACTTGCTACAGCATCAGCAGCCTTTAATCGTAATCCATCGATATGTTTATGAGTGGTTTAAATGCCAAGCTGTCTTTTGGTAAATAACAAGAACAGCACCTGAATAGAATAGTGCTTAAAAAAGGAATATGTCAATTATAACACATTGGACTATTATGTGACATCTCTTGTTTTTGTAATAAATCACTTATTTCCCAACATGGTAAAGGGTGAACCTGATGTCAAGTGGTGTTTCATCAGAAAGAAACGTGGGGCTGGTTATTTGGTGCATGTTAAATGGAGGTTAGATGAACGTCAAATGCTTTTCATTTTCAATAAACACAAGTTGTAAATATAACAAATGAAACACAGAGTGTAGTGGCAATTTCTTATTTTACCTTATATGGTAAAACCAAATGCTTCTAAAAGCATTGCCTAACACTACTGTACAATTTCTTGATATGTGCTGTTTCATCTGTTGTCTCTAATGAGGGTTATTATTCTCAAGCACTTCAAGGCCACAGAGCTGATTTGGCAGACTATGTTGAAACTACTCCTCTTCACACAAAGTTTGAACTTCCATATGCTGATAACCGTTATACTTTCTATAGCTCAAGGACACAGGTGTCTAATAGCGATATGAGACATCCGTGTGAAAGCAGATTTCTGAGGCGTTCCGCCATGCTACACAAAAACTTTGTCTGCCTGCCCTATCTTGTATATAAGCTTTGCTATTCTGTGGCTATTGCGCACACTCCTGCAGACTATACTCTGTGAGACCTGTGCCTTTGAAGCTTCAAATAAATAACCAACAAGACAACGCTGTTTGCTTTCACCAGTTTATTATAGATTACTCTCATTGTACATCTTTACAGTATTGACGAGTTTAAAATATCCACCAAAAGAGTAAGGTTGTTCCATTCGTCTTTCATATCCCAAATGACCTATAGACATTACATTACTACATATAAACCATGTAATAACCATAACAGTATGTTGTCTGAAATAACTGATTTAGACTCAGGTTATTAGTGAAGTCTAGCAATATAAACCATCAATCTTAAACTACTTCCTTAACTGAGGTATTCACAGAAAGTCATCTGCATTGAAACGTAAACATGTTCTTAAATTGAAAACAATGTTCAACAAAAGTGGCTAAAAGCAGTAAAGAAATATTGACAAGATGCGCACTTTTTATCTCATAATTATGACTTTTTAATTAATTTTTTTTGTGCCGGAAATGGGCTTCCATAGGGGTGTCCCCTTTAGGCTGGCAAGGACACAAAATGTCTCAAAAGGTGAAAACTCACAAAGATAATAAAGGAAATGGAAACATAAAAAGTCCTGTACCTTTGTGTATGTTTTATACAGAACAGAAATCCTTGTCCCCATTTACAAAAACATTTGTGATTATTATTTACATTTTTAATTGCAATATTTATTTCAAGATTCATATAAAAATGTGTTTAAAGATTCATGTTCAGAATAGAGTTAGATTTTGAGTTTTATTTAGTAGCAACACCTTTAATTGCAACAAAAATGTTTACGCTAATAAACATTTATATCTGGCTTTTGAGGGTTAAGTGTACTTCTTGCGCCAAATCAAAATCAATCAAAGTTTAATTACGCTTTACAGTTTACACAGACACAGAAATGTAAAAATGTAAGTGAAACTTTCATTGTATTAATTTATTCCTGTATTTATTTATTTATTTAACTTTTTTCAACATGTATTTATTCTTGTATTTTTGTATTCCTGTATTTAAGCTTCTTCTTTTTTGTACTTATGTCATGTTCTGTCCTCCATATATGTTGTCTTATGCTATGCTAATTTAAATTATTGTAATTACCTTGTCTTAATTTGATAAATAAATATAAATATTGTTTTTAGGCATCGAGTGCGCGCACGTCACGTAAGATCCGTACGTGCTTTACGTTTTTCAGACACGCGCAATGATAGCCGGAAGGACCGATGGGAGGAAAATAAAAATCGATGAAATCCAGTGTATTTTGCGAGTCTAAACCTCTCACCTACTGTCCTTTACCGCGACCGTAGACTCGAATTTATCCGCCTTGTTCACTGCCACTGTGCCGGAGGGGACGGCAGGGCGCAGGAGAGCCGATACATTTGAAGCAAGTTGCTCGGTAGGGGTTTAGCTGACGTGTGGAGAAGTTGAGACTGCCAGAGAGCAGATAAACAAACACAAACAAGCGGCGATCAGCTGAGTGCCTGCTGCCCGAACCGAGCCAGCAGCACGGACAGAGATGTCAGGAAGGTCTCCACTCTTTTGCCCGATAATGATCCACAGGACACCGTGACTTACAATCATACCACCTCCATGTCAACTGTCAACACTGGCAACACAAAGAATTTTCGGAAACACAACACGAGGACCAGCCATAGGCTTTAGCAGAAAATCCACTGCTATCCCTATCTCTTTGTCAAGACATAACCAGGACAACCAATGAGTTAACCGTCGAGTTTACAGCTTTAACTAAACGAGTTCACATTACAGTGCAAGGAGACGGAGGTAAACACTTTTTATTAACTTTGCTTCTTTTCCCCCCAATAGGGCCGTCGAAGTAAACCTAGCTAGCTTGGCAGGCTACATATCATGTTTTTGTTTGAATTCTTCATGTGGTGCTCAGTTTACAATTAGGGCTGTTATCTATTTAGGTGTACTGTTGCCTTTTGTCCTAGCGTGCTCTAAAAACCCTAAAGATTGTAGTGTTTTGATGCAGGGCCAAATAACCATTAAACCATGAAATTTTGAAATACGTAAAAGTCGAATTCTGACAGTCTTTTTTTTTTTTCTTTCTCTTCTTTTCCTTTCCTTAATATGGGACCACTGGGGTCAGCAGTGGGATTAACATGGCCCACCAGGCTACCCCTAGTTCCCAGAAGGCCCTGATGATGGAGCTGAAGTCTCTGCAGGAGCAGCCGGTGGAGGGCTTCCGCATCACTCTGGTGGAGGAGTCTGACCTCTACAACTGGGAAGTGGCTATCTTCGGGCCCCCCAACACCCTGTATGAAGGAGGATACTTTAAGGTGGGCCAAAACTTCATAATACCAGGAAATAGGACTGGGCAACGTTTAAAATCAAATATCATGGTATTTCCCATCAAATACCCCAATATTGATATTGCAACTATATTTTAGGGTTGACTACTGGTGTTTATACAAACATTCAGACAATGACATTGTAAATAAATAATAATCAGCAATGAGGAAATAATAACTAAGTGGATAAAGCTATAACAGCTAGTAACAATATATCACCTGACTGTAATGCTGCCTGGACCAGGAAACCAGGAAAAGAAAATTATGATTTTCAAAATATCACAATATTGATTTATTATAGATATATTTCCAAGCCCTAGTAGGAAAGGGCAGAAAACAAATGGCACTGCTTTTAATAATGCAACACATTCATGAAGGTAACGTGTATACAGTGCAACTGTGCTCCTGGGCAAGTTTCTTTCCAAAGTAGGATTTAAAGGCGATTGCTGCCTCTTACTGCGACTCTGTTTAGCCAAACTTGTTGTTGTTGTTGTACTTTTAAATCAGCAAATACCACCATGACTGGCCAAACACTTATTTTGTTTTAAATCTCTTTTTTAGGCTGGCAGTCATATATATTTCTTAAATGTTTAGGCTCTCTCCCTTCTCCCTCTTGTCCAGCCCTCTCCCCCTTGCTGAATGATGGTTGTGCTTGAGTTGGCTATTTTTAGCCGTGGGACCGATATAAACGGGACCTCAGTCAGCACAGAGAAGGGCACGGAGAGACTCATCTTCCTGTCTTTCATGTCACTTATCGAGTGAAACATCTAGAAAAATGTGGTACAGTGAAAGCCCAAATTCAAGTTGAGGCAATGCTGCAATCTTCCAGGAATGCCAAAATAATACAGAGCAACGCGTTGCTGCCATTACGTTTCACTCCACCTTTCATAGTGACATCCTTGTTATCCGGTTACAAGTCAAACATATTTTATTGATTATGTATCCTTGAAATACGTGTGTTTTTTAAATCCGTTTAACATATCACAATACAGCATATATTCTTAGAACCTGTGGTCAGATAAGGATAAACTCCACAAAAAAAAGGGGAAAAGATAGGCGAGACCACACAGCAACAGAGAAGGAATTGCTCTCTCAGGGTCAGAACACACAACAAGGGCCATATATTGAGTTTCCAATTGACCTAAGATGCAAGTCTTTAGAGGAGGCACGCATGCAGGTTGTCACAGTCATACAATAGAAATCAAAACATTTAAAAAAAGAGGATCCTGAAGTTGTTTGTGGTTGCAGAGATATTCCAGAGATACAGTCATTTTACAAATGTTCCGAGTCAGAAACTAATAGACTTAATGCTGTTTCGGTTATCTGAGTTATGTCAACGGGCATTACTTGGCTATTTTGCCTTACATGTTAATTGTCTACAGTATCAAATAACATAACCATGCTCACATAGACATCCAGGAATTGGAGGAAGCTCGGAAACCAAGGAGGGGGGGAAAGGAGGCCCACATTCTCAATCTTTTAAAACCACTGATGTAACATGTAACCAAGAACCTTTAGACACTGTCAAACCCAGGGCATTCTTGCTTTGAGCAAGATGTTCTCACCCCTGAGCTACTGTGACACCAGCACAACTACATTTGAGATATTGATGATTCTTATGCTGACTTGAGTGTGCTATACAAGAAGGGCTGTATGTTATGTTATGGTGTAATTAATGAAATATGTTTAACTTTGCACATTTGTTTAACATGGAAACGTATTTGTCATGGCGTCTGTCTTTTAATATTCCAAGGCTGCTCTAGAGGAGCAATGATAGTCCTATCTGAGGGGCAGCAGCTCAGGGAGAGCCGGGTGGTGTGACACACAGCCAGGCCTACACGCCTTTCACCTAGTTGAGCAATACCATGGAAAGAAAACACAAAAACAGAAGCACCAACTTCTTGTGTCACCAAATGCCTAGCTCTACTGCAATGTGCTGAAAAACATAAACAGACTGCTTTACAGTGTGATTAGACAAATGGCTGAGAGTGTATGATACAATGTCACTGTTGTGATTAATGTATATAAAAACAAAGGCTACAGGAAGCATCTTTGTGTATGAGCTGGTTATTAGGGAACTTGTAAACCTAGACAACTCAGCAAAGAGAAAACTTGTTTTTAATGCAACATTGAAGTTGATGTTTTTCATCGATTACATAACTACACTGAAGTTGTGTATATGATATAATAATAAACCTTTTGAATATTTGAACATTACAGTTAACAAGGTTGTCTCTGTTACCCTTGCTCTAGTTCCTGAATTTAAAAATGAATTTGAAAGCAAATAGCATTTGTCTTAGAAACTGCCAAAACATTGCAGTTTCACTTCATTTTTTATTTTAGGTAGGCATGAAGGAAACACTTAATATGTATCACTAGGAGAAGTATGTCTTGAAAATATATCAAATGTATTGGATTTATTTGGAAATATAAAGCCTGTTTTTATTTGTTTACATATTCTACCTATCAATGTGCTTCACCAACCTCCAAAGATTGAAGGGCATAAACTTAGCATTATGGAAGTCAACATGTTGACTGTCGGACTTTGTTTGTTCTTCCAGGCTCACATCAAGTTCCCCGTGGACTACCCGTACTCTCCACCGACCTTTCGCTTCCTCACAAAGATGTGGCACCCCAACATCTACGAGGTAAAATACTTTGTGTTTGTCAATTACATTCTATACAATGGCATAGATGTAGGTTTTATAAAATGGGTCCAATAAAGGCTACATTTAGACATACTTCTTTGCCATATGTTATACATTGCATTTTTCAGAACGGAGATGTGTGCATCTCCATCCTGCACCCTCCTGTGGATGACCCTCAGAGTGGGGAGCTGCCCTCTGAAAGGTGGAACCCGACCCAGAACGTCAGGTAATCCCTAACACACGACCTGCACCTCTGCACGCACTTAAACCATACTTTTCTGTTATCTAAATAAAATGATGATATGCATTTTATTTATATATTGGTTGGGTTGTTTGTGTTATTGAGTGACTGTGATGAATCCGAACCAACTGTCCATCCGGCATCTGCTATACAATAAAAGATCCCCCAAGAAATAAAAGAATATAAAGGTTGGACGGCTTGCCAATCGTGTCCAAGACTGGTATGAGAAGTAGTATTGATAAGCAGAGAGCTTAAGTGATGAGTCTGTATTTGAAAACCTGAGCACATTGGGTGCAGCATGTACTGGAGCCACAAGGGGAAAGATGCATGGTGAAGCCTCTGCTTTGGTTACAGGTTTCAAAAAGCTCATATAGAGCTTGTCTTTAATACAAATACATGATCTAATTTGTTTGTCCTCATTTCCTGTCTGTGTGGTTCTGTCTCCATCAGGACGATCCTGCTCAGTGTGATCTCTCTGCTCAACGAGCCCAACACCTTTTCCCCAGCTAACGTGGATGCGTCTGTCATGTTCCGCAAATGGAGGGACAGCAAAGGCAAGGACAAAGAGTATGCAGAGATAATCAGGTAATACACGATGTGGAAGATCTCATACATGTGCTACTGCATACATTAAATTACATCACATGTCATTTGTTAGAAGCTTTTATCCAAAGTGACTTACATACATTCAGTACTGTGGACAATCCCCACAGGAGCAATTTGGGGTTAAGTGTCTTGCCCAGGGACACAACGACATGCTGACTGCAGTGGGACACGAACTTGCTACCCCCTGATTCGAAGTCCAGCACACTATCCACTGAGCCACAGCCTCCCCTACACATTTCTAAGGCGTTAGACAGGGAATCCATTCACAAAGACAAATGTCAGAAGCTTTAAATCCAATTCCCAATTGGCCCACAGGAAGCAGGTGATGTCAACGACGGCAGAGGCTGAGCGTGACGGTGTCAAGGTGCCGACCACGTTGGCGGAGTACTGCGTCCAGACCAGGGTCCCCTCCCAGGACAGCAGCTCAGACCTGCTCTACGACGACCTTTACGACGACGACATGGAGGAGGAGGACGAGGACGAAGACGAGAGCGACATGGAGTCCGTAGGTGAAGCCGGGGGGATGAGCCCCACAGAGGACGGCGGGACGTCCACCAGACGTTACGACAACCAGGACGACTCCGGCAACGAGGACTCATGATGATCTGGATGATGACTCCTCCTTGCCAACTCCCCCATCCCAAAGCCCTCCTTTTTGTGTGTGTTTCGTCTGGTGTGTGTATGTGTGTGTGTGTTTGCACATACAGTGGGGTCAAAGGTAAACTGCCAAAAACGTTTCATCATTTATTAAAATAATACAAATGGTCAAATAGTAGTGCTATTACTTTTTCAAAAAAGTTTTGGTACCGTTTTCAATGAACGTCAGAGTTTGGTGTTTCCACCGTTTGCCTTAATTACAGCTTGCACTCTGTCTGCCATCAGATGTTTCGCAGAGATTGAGAATTTAAATTATTCCAGCACTGTTTGAGAGCACCCCCTTCCCCCCCAAGTGTTTTTGAGTTAACATTATCGTTCACCTTTTTATAATCGCAGAAATTATAGCATGCCACTGCACAATAGAGCGGTATTACTGCTCGATTTATCATATTATAAGTTACTGACTCTAGATGAGGCAAAACAGCCCAAAAACGAAATATATCCATCTTTGTTTTTAACTCTAGTTATTGCCCTGTTTTAAAACTCTTGTTTTTTTTCATTCGCATGGTTGAATTTCGTCAGTCATTAAAATTGTCGGTACTGGTATAACATTTGACTTGCTTTTGTTTTGGTTACTGCGCCAGTTTGTCTATCTTTTAACTGTAGTTGGGTTGGTCTTGCTTCTTGGATGCAGATGCATAAAGATGTAGGCTTTAAACAATAGTGCCATCTCTACTTCAATTTCGTTTTTTAATTTACAAAAATAAATTCTTGTTTTTGGAATCTTTCCAGGTCTTTTAATCACTTCTTCTTTTATGATTCGGCATTTTCAGTAGTAACGGTTTATTACTTATGAAAGCTGAAGTGCAAAACTTCTAGCAGTTAGAGTAATTACCACATGGGAGAGGCCATAGCAGTTAGGTGTATGGTGGAAAGTCCTAGTTTTTCATTACGTATAAGAATTTCCCAAAGATAAAAATCACATGTTAGCTCTAAATAACCTCCCGCAAATCAACAAAATTGTCTTGATAAATGATGAAAACAAGCTGTCCATGTGGTGGTCTCCTGAACCCCTGTAGCTGGCCAGCTCTTCGTCTGGTTAGTCAGATTGTCTGGTTTTGTGTAATATAGATTGTCTCCATCCACCCGTGTCTTTAGTTGTATTTTATTGTTTCTCTTTTGGTTGGTTGAGAGTCTGTCGTTCCAGACTTGTCCCTTGAATTATCGGTGGGCTTAGACTGATGGACTCTTTGCTGTTTGGCTCATTAACCAGTCGATGAGCTGGTCAGTTCGTCCTGTCAATGTCCATCATTGTGGCAGAATATCTCTGTCCCTCTCCCGCCTGTCTGTTCAACTAATGCAATCAACATAGTCCCCGTCCTCTTGAACCCCCTTCAGTAGTGTTCATCACGACTGCTCCCTTTTGATCCCTCAAAGCAGCGTCTTTCAGTTAGGGGTTGTCGTCTCCTATACCTTTCTCTGCCTCTTAAACCTCAGGGCCTCAATAGACTTTCACTGAGAGAGAAAAAAGAGAAACTCTTACATTACAATTGCTCCTCACCTCCACCTCATCTTCTTACTTTCTGCATCACTGGGTGGTTGCCGAGGGCAGAGAGTGAAGTGAAAGTCTCTAAACCCACAGCCAGCGTGTTAACACATGACTGGGTGCTGCTGTTGGTCCTGATTTGGCTCCTTTTTTTGTTTGCTTCTTTGTATGCAAATGTCATATTTAGAACACCTGAAGCGACATTTCCTGTCAGATAATGCTCACACTATCTTTCCATAGATGTGAAAATGTTACTTTTTTTTCTCCGTTACTCAGACTAAGCTTAAGTGCGGCTGTCCGTTTAACGACAGGGATGGAATCAACATGCAGCTTAGCTATCCATTTGCATTTGAATGATTATAACACTGATTGCCTGTTGTGTGTTTCTGTGTGTGCGCGTGTATATTTACATTTACTATTCATCTATCGACAACAATGTCAGGGTTTTCTTGTTCCGGTCCCTGGAACAAGTGCAGACTTGTGTCAAACCAGTGAGTTTGTCCAAATGACCTTTTAGACTTTGTCCAGTGGAGAAACCATTGTGTGTTTGCACAGTGTTCTAGTGCCGTGTTGGTGAGGCCTGAACTGGCTGAGGATTCAACCGAATGAAAAAAGAAAACGCCCTCTGAGTATTAAACTTTTGGATACACTGAACAGCATAATGTGATTATAGTACTCGCGTGGCATCGAGTAAACCACACACATTTTGAGTTGTGTTCTTATGGCTGTGGGTATTACATCTGTTGCCCTTTTCACAGAGCAGAGCACTGTGCAAACCTTTGACTCAAACAGATGGATTTTATGCCAAGGAAACCAAGTGCAGCCCCACAAAGGTTCATTTTAAAGACTACGGAGCAATGGATGCATGTGGTGTATTTAACGCTGTGTGAATTTACTCTACCTTTTGGATTTTAATGTGAAGCCAAAGGAGTGAAACATTTCCTCCCGGCCTTGCGCTTCGGAGGGCTCACAGAGACTGGATTCTGTTGAGGACAGAGAGGAAAACCTACTCCTGAACCGGATCTTTAATGGATTTGATATCAAGGCACAACAGGAAAGGGATTAAGGCCAGAGATGTTGAACTTTTCTTGATGTGGTCCACATTTTTTTGCCCATCCCTCGTCATACAGAGAAGAAGTAGAAAAAGTGATGACATGTACTGAATTCATGTGTATCTGCTAATGTACTAGTTTGACATTTTAGGAAGTATGCTGATTTTTGGTGGCTAAGAATATCTATACCACTTTCTCCGCTGAAAAGAGGGGGAAAAAGTTAGCTTGGCTTTGTCTTGCTATTTAACCTAAGCCCCTATTAAACAGCAAATTGTCCCTTTTTATTTTTATGAATTGTGTACAGATTCAACAAACAACTGTTGCGTCTTATTGAGTAAGCTTTGTTGAAGCTGATATGAGGCTGACTTTGGTATCATAGAACAGCGCCAGGCTAGCTTTATGCTAAACTTAGCTAACAGGTTGCTGGCTGTAGCATTGTTTAAACAGAGAAACATGCTAATTATATTGTCATCACACTCCTTAACAGAAAGCTAAAAAGTGTATTTCCCAAAATATCACTCCTTTTTTTCACCGCACCTATTTTCACCTTTTCTATATGAAGCCAAGGCCATAAGCTGGTTAGCTTCGCTTTGCACCAAAAATCACATGTTTGAGCTCTAAATAAAGGGAAACTGAAAAAGATTAAAAAAAACTAATTGTGAAAAAGAGAAGGCCGTTTTCTTGGCCTGGAGACATGACTTCCTGTAGTTTACCTGTGGACAGAGCCAGGCTGTATGTTTCCGTCTTTTTCCAGTCTTTGTGCTAAGCTAAGCTAAATGGCTGCTGGCATTAGCTTCACATTTATCAGACAGATGCGATATTGGTATCTGTCTTCTCAACCAACTCCAGGCAAGAAAACAAATAAGGGTGTTTCCAATAATGTTATCCTCTTAATTTAACGGTTGTGTCCTATCACAAATGTAGAAATCAGAATCGGCGTTATTGTTTGTGTTTAGGCTTAGTGTTGCCCTTATGATAGCAATTCAATGATCAGTTTAGAGCTTTTCAATCTTAAATGCTCCTTCTTTTTTTTTAGTCAAGTGTATGCCTTGTTTTATAATGAGGACAGGAAAAGAAGAGCTCAGGGGGCCTTTTGAGGGAAAAGAGCAAAAAAAACAATTATCTCAGAGGGATTTTAATTTTCTTAACTCAACCTAAGAAGTGACACACTAAAAAGGACTGTGGTCTCTAAGGTGTTGAGAGGATCTTCCCTACAAACAGTTCCATACAAAGGCCTGAATGAAATCATTTGGTTCATTTAATCTGGTTGTGTGTAAGCATGTGTGTGCACAAGTGTCATTTTTACAGTATGGGCCTTCACATGGTCACACACATGGACTGACCTGTGTGTGTCCACAATGCGTCCTCACCTTTTGATGTTAATGCTGTCCTTGTTGGGTTTTTCTTTGTTTTTTATGTATTTTTTCCTTATCATTTTGTGTTTGATAGGATGCAAATGTCACTCATAAAGTTTCTATTGTAAAAATAAATAAATGATATTGTTGGGTTTAATTTGCATTGTAGCTCTGATCACTGTCGCTTAGTGAAAGTCACGGAAAAAGGACGAAGCACAGCAAGTTGGTTTTTGGATAGGAAATATTGTAGTGAGTGATATGCAAATGAGGGGCATACAGTTAATGTGGTTACGTTGGAAACTCCTTCAAAAATAAAACGGTATGTCATTGATGCCTTTTGAAAAGTTCTTACCTTATTTAGTACTCTGGTCATGATGGATTATTATTAGTTTTTAATGAGTGTATTAGCTTAAAGTGTTGGATCAGCCAATTGACCTAATCAGTGGTATCTAGCTATGCATTGGTTTATTTGTCCTGATGTTGAGATATCTGATATTTCTGCCTCCATGCCATTCTGATGAATTGTAATGGTAATCATTGTTAAGGGGTCAATACGTCTAACAAGTACTTTACTTTTGTATTCATTTATTTGGATGCCAATACTTCTTCAATTTGAATTGTGAATGTAGGACTTTCACGTAACAGAGTATCTTTACAATCTAGTATTGCTATTTTACCTAAAATATAAATTCTGAGTACTTTTTCCTCCATTGATTACAACTGATCATGACACTGAACGCATCGAGATAATTTTAAGATATTTCACAGCTTATAAAATGATACATAAACTAGTAGGGTGCAAAGCAAAATGTTTATTCGAAAAAAGGAACTCTAATTTCAATTCAGAACAATTGGCTTTGTTTTAGAACTGGGAGAGGAGCTTTTCTGCTCAACCAGGCATGGAATTAATTACTGCTTTAATGATGCCCTGATGGGTCTCAAAGCAATAGTTCAGCTGCTCGATGCACAGTGTTACTTTATTGTATAATGTTTATGCCACGTGAAAGTCTCTCACTGACCTCCAGCTCACTGCTCTATCCCGTGTCCTTAAAATACCCAGAAGAAAAGTGTCTGTTAATTGAGGAGAGTACTTATGAGTTGCAAGAACACAATTGTTTCTTTAATTACTTTAATTGTGTCCCTTCGACAGGGGCCATTAATCCTGTGTGTGGCATTGAGAGCAGAATGTTCCTGTTTGTAGTACAATGAGACCGTCACAGTCACCAGGGTCAAGTATAAAAGCCTGTCTTTAATTTCACTCGTCCCTAGTGAGAGAAAAAGCAGTGTTGATTAAATATATTTTTGGTTCTTCCTGCTCTTTAGGACTATATTCCATCATCTAACTTTCAAATTACTTTTAGGTTGTTGAACAACACGAGGGGGTCAGATTGGATTAAAAAAATACTTTGAATCTACAGATTCTGCCTGGATTAATAACATGTCCACGGTGACTGTACATAAAACCTCTGCTCAATCGTGCCATCTTAAAATGAGATTTATGTGTCAATGCTGCCTGGTTTTATAACATTATTGTTTGTCCTAAAAAATTGGTTTTGTTTTAAGGATTAGCTTAAAGGGAAAGTTAACCTCAAAATCAAAGATAGATATGTTCCTCCTGCCTGTAGTACTATCAATCGTCATCATTTTATCATGAGTGGCAAACACCTAGTTCAAATCCCACAATCTAATGTATGATGTGGTAATGCTGCATGTTTGCAAATGGCTTTATACAATATATTTGTAAAATAGCTATATAATAAATACTCCAGTACATTAACCCTAAATAATGGTTAACCTAATGTCCATTGTTTGAGATGCATGATCTCCCAATCATTGCATAATAATGGCTTCTCTAAAATGTCTTGACACTCTTTGCAAAAGTGATTGATGTATCTCTCGCTTTTATTTGGATACTGAGAGCTGAGAATAGGCCTGAGACTGTTTCTGAGCTCATTGCACATCTGGGTTGTGTTTCTAGAGCTTGCAGTGTTTTGTAATCTTTGGTGACCAATCAAAGACATTGCTTGTTTTGTCGCCACCCTGTGGCAGCATCTACTACTTACATTGTATTTGTATCCAGTAAGTAAGTGAGTAACTGTCTCCTTGCTTTATGTTATGGTTTATTTACTTGTTCACATTTATGTATTCAAAACTAGGGAAGCGAATTTATTTTAGAATCATGTAATGTTGTATATTTTCTTCAATTTAACCTTTGTTTTATAAAAAAGAGAATATACTCAGCGTTACCTTATACAGTAGAGACACTCTGTTACATTAGGTGCTCTGCTAACCCAAAGTCTGAGGTCCCTCACACCAGCAGACGCTTTCCCTTCTTTTACCATCCCTTCTGCAGCGTGTACATTTGGGTTCATTGCTTTTTGTCCTGCAGGTGTGTGCTTGCTGCTCTCAGAGTGTCCTGCAGGTCTTTGTACTGGGCCAGAGTGCAGGCCTCCTCCAGCCGGGCCCAGCGGTAGTCCTGGTGCTCGTCAGACAGAGTCACAGCTGTTCCTGTGTCTCTCAGCTCGGCCAGCCAGTACAGCACCTCTTTGGGTTTGCCTCGCACCTCGTAGCGCAGCTCCTGCAAAAAGCCGTCAACAACCTTCAGCTGCTCCTCTCCAAGCCCCGCCTCCTCCTTGGTCTCCCTCAGGGCTGTGGTAAGGTCGTCCTCGCCCGGATCCACATGACCTGATGGAGAACAGGTTAGATGTCACTTAGACAAAGAACATTTAAAGTTAGCTCATTAGTGTCTCTACAAACTACTTGAGGAATCTGTAGGTTTTTTGGACTTGTAAGCACCTTTGGGTGGGGTCCAGTGGTGCTGCCCATAAGAGGTCTGCAGGAGGAGGTACTCGATGTTGTCTGGAGGGACACAACTGGCGAGACGACGAAACACTATGAAGCCACAGGCTCGCAGCGCCATCTCACGGTTTGAAAAATGCACAAACAAGCACATTTCGCATTATGTTTGATTATGGAATTCCCCTATAGAACGCAAAAAGCTACTTAGTCAAACCCCTTGTCAGTGGAGCTCACCTGTTAACGTAGATATTAGACTCACCACTCTTCAAGGGAAGACCTTTGCACTGCTGAGGGGGAAACTTACATTATAAAATAATATTACACGCAATATGGGTTATTACTTTTTCACAATGTTGTAATGGTAGATGGACAAAAATGTTCAACATGCTGTTTGGCAAGGAAAAGTAGAGTAGTTAAAAGTGTAATTTACTGGTTAAACCAATGCATATCCTGTGTATATAGAGCTACATATTTTTTAATTGTTTTAAACTTTTGGTAGTATATTTAAAATTGTTACCCTGGCACTTTGGTTAGGTATGTTTATGAATGCATGACTTTTACTTGCAACAGAGGGTTTCCAAACAGTGACGTGACTTATTCCACCTGTGGTAGAACATGTTTTTTTCAAACAGGCGTTAGCTAGCACGTTGTAACTTGTGCTGATTCATTGATGGATTTTGCAGCGAGACAGACCCAACACTGCTGCAACAATGGGATTATTTACCAGACCAAAACAATGATCAGATTTGATAACATGCAACAGTAGCCTATCTCACTTCTCCACTGGCACAGATTCGCTGTCAAACCTCGGCAGGCTTCACTTTCTGTTCTAACTCTACAGACATGTTCGCTGTTCTACCGTCAATGAACACATACTGCTGGTTTGACGACTATCTCAGTGACTTAACTTAAAATATGTCAGTGTTTTACTTACGGTTCACTGTGAAATATTTGCTAAAGCGTTGTGTGTTCCTCACCGACAGACAACACTGCGGAGCTGAGCGGTGCTCTTGGAATAGTGTCCGGTCCTCTCTGAAAACGGAAATAAACAGTTCCGCTTTGTAAAACTGCTTTGACAGTAGGCTACTCGTAGCCACTGCCAGTAATGAAAGATATGTATATAATAAAATAATCTGAGCTATGTAAATATGTACATGAACTCAAATACTGCACTTAAGTACAAATTTGAGATACTTATACTTTACTTGAGTATTTCAATGTTGTGCTACTTGGTACACAATTCAGAGGTAAATTGTGTACTCTTACTTCACTACATTTATTTTGTACCTTTAGTTACTGGTTTGGATTAATGATGTGAAATATAATCAACACTTAAGAAATACTTCAGTTACACCTGGAGTAGATACACAAGCTACCCTGCAGTACACAAAGTGATTAAAGCTGCACCTTTACCGGCTTTGATAATACTTTAATAATGCATCAATAGTTATAATCAACACATACTGTATCATATATCATTCCGAAATTGACCAATTTTTTTTGAATGACTACTTTAAGTATATTTTGATGCCAATACTTTTCTACTTTATCTTCAGTAACCTTTACTGAAGGACCTTTACTTTGAACAGAGTATTCCTAGACTCTGGTACTTCTACTTTTACTTAAGTAAAAAATAACTTGTAACTACCTGCACAATGCTAAAGGTGCATTAGATGTAGGCCATATGTAGCCTATATTTTAATAATATTTCCCCCTCTAATATATAGTGCAGTAAAAGTATAAAGAAGCAAAAAAATGAAATCTTTGCTGAAAATATGCTAAAAATGTACTTGTATCAATCAAAAATAGTGAGTACTGAGTAGGTGTATATAGTTTCTTTCCACTACTACTACTACTACTACTAATACTACTACTACACATCAAGTGCAGGCGATGATTAAAATAAGGAAGAGATTCATTTATCCTGTTACTCAATGACAGATCAAACAAAGCCTTTATTATAAACTCATATATTTCTCCATGATCTAGCTGCTGTGCCTGTGGGAGACAGATAAGAAATGTACCCATGAGTAGATAGGGCCAACTGAAGACTGCTTGTGTGTGAAGATAATAGAGATGGGGCCTCCTTCTCTGCACACCGAGCTGACAGCAGTATGGTTGTTCGGCTTGACGGATGAGACACCGCTGTTGAGTTTCAAGGTAAAGACAAAAATTCTCCCAAAATAAAAATTGTTGTTAAAGTCAAGTGAAAAATATATAGATACAGGGATAATCAGACAGACACACAGATGGGATGCAAGAACTCAATGTAACTTTGATGGATTTGCTAAAAATGTATCCTCTAGTCCCTCAGGGAACACGTAATGAAAAATGTGTAGTTTTCCTGACATAAACAATTATTTGTGCTTCTCTTCCTCAATAATAGCTGCCTGCGTTGTAGCCAGATGCCTCAGGACATGTAACTTTAACTGCCTACTACTGTGCTTACTCAGGCTGCACTGAAATGCTCATTACTCCACTCCGCTATACAGGATTCACATTTGGGGTCAGCTTCCCCTGCATCCAGATAGAATTGTGTATACTGACTGTCTGAGACTCACTTTAAAGTGACCAATGCTTTTGTAAAATAATGACATTCATATAGGTCATACATAGACTACTGTAATCACTATGCACTTGATTTGTTTCGGGGAACACCCAACTGGCAAAAAAATCCTTCAACTTTGGATGTATACAATTCTGATATGCTAAAGCTTTGCGCTGTCCTTAGTCTTTTACTCTGAAAGGTTCACTTAAAGCTGTGGTTGGCAGTTTATTTTTCAAGTTATTCGGCAAATATTTTATGGTGACCTTTGAGCATATTTCATATAAACTGCAAACTGGTTCTCATCCTGCAGCTCTCCCCACTCTGTCTTAGTATGCGTATGTGCTTCATACAGTAACCTGTAGTAATGTGTTTACACACATCAGGATTCATTCATCATGTTTGAGAACCTAATGTCATTATATGGCAGCAATTCCATTACAATTACCATCCTGATTTCTTTGCAAACGTGTGAGTCTGTAAAGACATTTCAAAATGACTGTCTTTGATTAGAGTCTCTAGTTAGCAAAAATACCAGCATAGGGTTTCAGAGATAGTGAAAAACCTTACTAAAGCTAAACCAAATGCTCATGGTCATTGCTGCAACTAGTTTACAGCAGCTAATGGCTAAGCTCAAGGCTAAACTATTAGCAATACATTTTCTCCCTGTCTTTAAAAGTTTAGCCTCACTGCTGCAGCCCAGCCATGACTGCTACGGTTATTAGTTGTTCAATTTGCCTTCTACCAACCATATAATTGAGTTGCTGTAAGTTAGCCGCAGCTAAGGGAGCAGCAGCTAAAACTGTTTGCATGATTTTCTTTCTCAGAAATGCTGTGAATATATTGGGCTCTTCTTTTTTTGGGTTGCTTTGCATTTTTGTTATTGTTAAAAAAAAGAGGCTTCAATATAAACTCTTCCTGCAGGCTATCGTTAAATCAGGCTTACACAATCTTAAGGCACGTGGACCTTTATTTCCAATAGTAACACTGAAAGGTAATCATTGAATTTTTGCCCTAATGACTTGCCAAAAAGAAACTGACCTCCCCCAGCTTCAATGGTTCGACTATTCATACAGTAATGAGGCATATATAAGAAAATTAGTATTGCAGGTCTGAGCAGATCTGATGTGCCAATAGATGTCTTTACTCTGAGTCTTCAAGCTGAATGTTCGGCAGGTGTACTTAATTTAAGATGACAACTCTGATGTGAGGTGCCAAAACACAATAATCCCAGTGGCAAATCTAATAGCCTAATATTTATATTAATTATTATTATATGTAAGTACTGACCCGGAAATACACAACATGCTGCACCATTGGCCTTCTTTGGGGTATAGTAACTGCTATTATTGTGATATGGTTAAAGGTCTCCTATTATAGCCTACTCTTTTTCATCAATATATTATAGGTCTCAGATATATACAAAACATGTCTCTGAAGTGTTTGACCCGAAATACCAAACAGATCATCCATTGTAGCATCCCATAGTCCCCTCTGTTTCAGCCCTGTTTCAAAAGTGCTGATTCTCTATCTTTTACTTTAGATGAAAATAAGGAGCCACTCCCCACGCCCCTCTGAGAGATATTTGGTTAAAAAGAACACAATGGTGCTCTAGGAGGAGATTCAGGTGNTAATGGGCGACTAGGGCTCTAAGACCGCGGTGAATCTGACAGTATTGCTAAAAAAAAACGAAACATGTGGCTAATCGGTTAGTGGTGTGGTGTCCCATTGGGGCGGCGGGGGGATCTCATTGGGGGGGGGATGAGTCGGACTTAGAGGAGGATCTCGGGTAAGCACAAGAAAAAATTGGTTGTATAGAGAGTCGTCCCCTCACCCCTACACCGAGAATATAAAGTAAAGATTTCATCTTTCTATCATCCTTGTCGTGAAACTTTGTCCGACTCTTGGTCTCGCCCTGATGACCCTACGAGTGCTGCGCTGACAGTACTTCGAAGACACGCCACGCACACTGAAGCCCAAGTTTGTGAAGTCTCTGTTGAGCAAAACGGGATATCTAGACTCTGAGACCTACCTTGCATATAAACTTACTTCTATTTCCCCCGATCCGATCTTATCCCGCTCTGGAGTTGGTATACGCTGCCTATCCCCTATCCGTCCAACTGCATATGGGTTTCTTCGGTTCTTACCACCGTCGCTCACAACCATAAAGGCCCAGCCCTCATGACCAATGTACTATCCTCACTTATTCACTTATCATCCATTCATGAACATCTCTGTGACATCTACGCGTGCCCTCCAATAACCACAACACACCGTGGCAGGCTGCTACGTCTCAACAGCTCAGAAGTTTACATTATCGTTTTTATATAAAATGGATCAGGACAAAAAGTGAGCGAATATTCTTTCCTGACACTTTCAGAGTCTCTTTACACGAGGGGACACATGTTTATATATAAAATACATGAAAAAGTGGATTTTGCATACTAGGTGACCTTTAAGATAAAAACATGCTTATTTATTATAAATACAAATTTGTGAAATTTTCTTTTGCATTCTTACCAAGCAGCCTTTCACAGAGCCATGGAGCCCACAGGAGGGCCTTATCTTGTGGGGAAGAAGGATGAACTGATTGAAGCAAAGCGCTCTTTCAGAACACTAGAGGGGCGGGACATATTGATCATCTACCACCAGAACGACTTCTATGCTATCGACTCTTACTGCTATCGTGAGTTCAGTTTTTCTTTTGCTTGACTCAAAACAATTAATTCTTAGAGAGGGAGATGGGGATATATAATTGGCTTTTAAACTTCATCCAACAAACAGTCAGTCTAAATCTAAGGTGTTTACCCATGCTGGCTTCCAGACAGTCCTGGACATTTAACTCTGAGCTAAAATAGCTTTTTTAGCCAAAGAACAATTAGGCACATTTCACCTTTTAAAATGTGTCCACTCAGCAAAATATTGTGTGTGCTCTGTTTGCTTATTCTGCAATACACTGATCCTGTCCCCTTCTCAACAGACGCTGGGGCAGCACTGCAAAATGGAGACATTGAGGTGAAGTTTATATTTATTAAAGAGATTAGAGGTTGTTTTTGTGTCTGACCCAGGGTTAAGGAGCCACAGTCATGCTTTTACCAGCTATTCCATCTACATTATAGTCCTTGCAAGCGACTGCTGGGCTAATACATATTATTACCTTAATTAAGACATCAAACCTGAATAAAATTAATGTTATGCTAATGTTGAATGACTTAAATGACCTGCATTTATCCAACATAAGGTTGTTTACCTGTTTTCTGTCAACACTCTTACAGGAATTTGACGGCAAGATGTGCATAGTTTGTCCGAACCACAAGTACAAGATCTGTCTGGCCCAAGGGGAGGGCATTTACAAGGCCAGAGACCCCAGGGAAAAGCCGTCTGTGTTCAGATGGATCTCCAAGGGTGTGAAGCAGCGGACTCACACGGTCACTGAGAACAATGGGGATGTCTATGTCAAGCTTTCTGAGCAAAGAGGCTTCATCGAGTCAGACTTCTACCAGGGAGAGAAGGGCAAGGTGGAAAGAGAAAAAGCTGCGGCTGCTGAGAAGAAGAAAACAAAATAGTGTAAAAGACGGAAGTCAATGGATCCTCTAAATTATTGTATGATGAATCTACTTGGTGTCAGATATTTAATGACGGATACAGTAGTTTTACTTGGGTCTTGTTTATCTTGATCATAGTGTTTACATTTGTATTTGTGGCTTACATTATATTTAAATGTTGTACTTAAAAATAAGGTCCCATCTTTAAGGTGGACAGTGTCAACTTATTTCACAGAATAAACTTTCTTCACGAGTGAATTTGATTCTATAGTGGCATGGAGCAGCTAAATGCGTACCCACACTGGTGTATCCCTCTGCATTTCAATATCTCTCATGTATTATGCATACAGCGAATGAATCAATAAGATAAAAAGGTTTAGTCTGGTCGATAATGTCCTAAAGTGGAAAATCATTAATGTAAAATATAAAGATCATATGATGGCCATTTCTGGTAATAACTATGTCTGTTCATTCCCTGAGATTACATCAGAAAGCACCAGTCTCAGGTTACAGGCTGCATGGGTTTCGTTTGTCACATCTTTCCCGTACATTGGCAAAGAATTCCTTGAGCAAACGCAACAAATAAAATAAATAACTTTGCTGAGGACGCTGTACCAACCCCTGAGGTTGTTGAATGTTTGTTAACAGCAGCTTCAGTCAGGTATACAGTGGCTGGCTCATGGGCTCCGTGCTGCAAACAGAAACTCAGTTTTGTTTTGAACATTCAACATCCTCCTCTAACTCTTGCCGAGACAACTAGTGTAAAGTTAGTGTATTTCCCAAAACGTCAAACTTTTCCTTTCATGGTCATGATGTCAGAATCATCTCAAAATCTGATTGTTTTCTGATGCAGTAATGTTGTACTTAAAGAATAACTAAAGGGATTCAAAACCTTTTCAGGAAATGTGCAACCCTGCAAGAAACAGATTTTTAAAAAACTGTCAAAATTGGTGCTACTATATCTTGACATATGATGGTACAATACGGGATTTTGATACCAATAATTTACATTTATATTATTATAAATATTATTAATCATAATTTGTTGCAAAGAAATCCTAAACAAAAGAAACTGTGTAAAGTAATTTTGTGATAGTTTGTTGAGCATTTGATGTAAAGAGTCAAGACAGTCACATCCAGATTATTTCTTTGTTTTTAAAAGCCATGGTGCAGTGTAACCCTGACATGACCCAAGAAGAACTACAGGGCCATGGGTCAAGCACAGTGAGGCTAAGGGGTTTATGATGTTCCTCTGTGCATGAATGATGCATGCTGCTGGTCTCTAGCTGGCCTACAGCAAACTTCTCTGTCTACGTGACGCATCGAATACAATCACGTAATGCACTGGGTTACATGGAACAAGGGGGTGAGCACTTCTGCAAAGTTGAATTGAGAATCTGGAGGTATTATTATGCGCAGATGGTAATTTGCAATAGGTCAAGTGGAGGACTCTTTGTCAAGATAAAGAGACTGTCAGGGGAAACCTAGGGGAAACTGCTTAGCAGGACTAGAGGATATTATTCCAGAGGGAGAGTAAGGCACACCATGTAGCACTAAATAAGTCTTTTAAACCAAAGGCCTACATACTCTCTGTAGGTTTTATGTCTTGCATTATTCATTGTGATTATCAACAAGAGAGGCTCTGATAAAACCTTTAAGGCTTGAGCTATTTTTCCTCTCAAAAAGCTCGGAAAACCCTGGAGTTTTTCCAAGAGGGAATACCAAAAAACAAAACACCCCTAAAGCCTGTTCAAGTTTATATTCTTGCTATATCAGCAAATTCTCTCTTTACACATTATGGTTGTCAGTATTATCACTATGGTTGACATTCATGCTTATGCATCTTAGCAATTCTTTTTGTGTCTTTTCATGTGGATGAGTTCAGTGTATGTCACAAAGTTATTAGCACACAGTGATGGAGTAAGTACTCAGATCTTGTAGTAGAATTACCACTGAGTAGGAATACTTTCTTACAGTAAAAGTGTAAAAGAACATGTTTCTGAAATAAAAGTAGAAAAGTATTGGTATCAAAAAAGTACTAATTTAGCAAATTAGTCAATTTCTGAATAATATTATATGATATGTTTTGATTGTAATTATTGATGTATTCATGTGTTTATCAAAGCTGGTAAAGGTGCAGCTAGTTTTAATTGCTTTATACTGCAGGGTAGCTTGTGAATGTTACTCCAGGTGTAGCTCAAGTCTTATGTGTAGATAATATTTCCCATTATTATTCCAAATGTACAGTAACTTAAGGTACTCCATAAAAGTTATTGAGTAAAAGAACAATATTTACCCCTGATAGTAGCAAACAATTGAAAGTAAAGTACAGTTACCTCAAAATTGTACTTGAGTAGGCTACATACTTAGTTCCCACTGTTGGACTCATGATTTTGTATTGAATGCACCCGAGGAAGCTCATGTTGTATTATCATTTGGAGGAGAAATAAACAGCTATGATACGACTAAAAGGTTTGACTGAGCGAAAAATCAAAATTCCGGAATGTCTACTGCACGAGGTTGTTTGTGTGTGTTGACGCGCGCTGCTTCTACGTCTGTGTCCGCGTGCGTGTTGCTGAGTCAGGCGAGACCGCTCTCTCTCTTTCTCTGTCCTTACCCTCTCTCTCCAGTTGCTCTTTTGCCAGTGAGACTTTGTTTTATCCGCCGACGTCATTCATATGGTCTTGACGCCGAGGCGCGAGGCTGCCCTCTCCTCGTCGCTAATTGTATTTCCCACCGTCTGACAACTTGTTTTTGTGTTAGCGCATTGACTGCCCATGGGCACTGCTGTCCACACACACCGTGCTGCTGCTGCTGCTGCTGCTGCTGCTGCTGCTGCTCCTCCGGCTGTCCGGTGCGCCTCTGCGGTCGGTTCGGGATGGTATTGGGCTCTTCCTTTTATGAATGAATAACAAAACTGGGGGGAAATGCGAGTGACAGTGAAACTCCCCAGCAGCCGTGCTCCCAGGGGGCCAGCCATCAATGAGAGGGATTAAGGACGGAGCCGAGCCGCGGCTCATTGCGGAAAAGCCGACTGCATACTGGAAACGCACTGTGAGGGAAACGGGCTCCATAGCGTGAACAGAAAACCGCGGTGACCACAATGTAAGTTTCTCTGGAGCGGCAACTCATTAAGGCATGGGAGGAGAGGGGGGCTTCCTGGTAGGGTTGCATGCTTTATTCTTGTCAGTATCACTGCTTGATATTATCCATCAACGAAAATATGTGTCAAAGTGTGTGATTTATTGAACCATAAATCCCTCTCTCAGGTGTAATAAGGGGCCTTGGCAAAGCTTCTTCTCATTCATTGTTAGTGACATAACGGTGATGCACTGGCTCCGTGATAGACATGAATAATAAGGACCTAAGCAAACAGAGGTGCCTCCTCTGCCTCAGTGCTATACATCTGGATCACCATTATGGTGATGTGCAGCTTGACTCAAGTCACTTACAACAAACCACATGGCTTACAGGTCCATCCACATCGTGGCTCTGGGCAGCGAGTGCCCCGGAGGAGTGGGGCCCGGGGAGGAGATCATGGGCCAGGGGCAGCTGCAGGGAGGCCTGCTGTGGAGCTACCTTGGCCATGGAGCTCTGGTGGGACCATGCGACCTGGAGAGCAGCATGCACAACCCGGCCTTCATGGAGTACAGCTCCCTTGTGTTTGGAGATGTCACTGTGGTGGTCCGGGATTGCCCCAGCTGGGTAAGATGCTCATAGAAGAGAAAAAGAGACCTCTTGCATGGGTTGATACAGTGTGAATCATTGCCCTGCTCATTCATGTGTCTTTTTCTTGATTTGCAAATGCTATCAGATCTACTTTGTAGGTGTTTCTTTCACACCTTTCTGCTTGTGTGGTACTAAACAAGTCACGTTTTGCACAGGACAGTTAGAGAATGAAAAACACGCCATACAAAAGGTCTAATTTTGTCACATCATTGTCATTGTGAAAGAGTGTCACTCTGATGACATGCTATTTACTTTCTCACTCTGCTTCTATTTCTCACAAGCTGTACAACATTTCAAATTCCAAGGCCACTTGCTAGTTCCAGCTCTGATTGCAGGCTTTATAGAAATCACTCTATTCTTAGCAGGGTGCTATTTTAACATGCACTGCACACACACAAACATTAAAGAAACTTGTGTTCTTAATGGAATATGAATCTGAGTGTTGTTTTTAAAGACACACTTCCTATTATAAGGCTGTCAGTCTCAATTCTATGGCTCTTTGTCCTTGTTTTTTATTCAAAACGCTGAAAGCTTTTTTGAAGGGTTTTTTCTGCTCAGGCTGGTTTACAGTTAGCAGCTATAGCCTTGCAGGTTCTTGGGGGTAAAGTCCCAAGTGTTACACTGAGGTATTTATTCGTAGGGAGACTCAGAGGGGAAGGATTAGAGTTGCTTAGGGTAAGCATGATGGTAAAGGTTGGGCATTCTGACCATTTTCTATATTGCCTTGTTCATAACTATTCTCCTCTTGCCTTTGCAGGACTTGTTGGACAGTGATTGGGCCAGTGTACGGAAAGTTCTTGAGCAGGCAGACATCCTGGTCATTAAATATTCAGTCACCGATAAGCTGGCCTTCCAGCAGGTCCGAAACGGCTACGCCCCGAGACTCCGCCCTCTCCTGAGACACTGGGGTGTGCCGGTCATCCTGGTTGCTATTGGAGCACGGCTAAACGGTGAGTATTCTCTTATTTCTGAGTAAGTTGAGATTAGCCTACAATGCTCTGAGAACTAATGACTCCTCAAACAGGCATTGTTATACAGGAACAAAACGACTTATCTCTCAGCCATTGCATTTGATAAACTGGTGTTTATGGGGTGATAAGCCGCTGCCTGAGTTATTGAGTTTGATTGCAGGACAATACCATGTTCTTCTTGCCTGGTCAGTGGGATCACTGCTGGAGCCTTGCGTCCTCTAGTGTGTCCTTCCAGCGATGTGGGGGATATGCTCACAATTACATCTCCTCTTGGCTGCCTCTGGGCGGTCAGCTCACACGCTTTCCTGCAGGAAACACACCAAAGAAAGACACTAAGTTGATCGTTTATGACCATAAAAAGCCCTGCAAGCAGACAAGAACTTGTACAGCTGTCGTTTCATTGAAAAGTGCAACACAACAGTAGCTTGTCGATTAGACGCTTTACCAGCGGCAGCTTAATGCATCACACATTACAAACATGTATGCTGGTACCTCAGTGTGTCTGCATGTGATTGTACACACACACACACACACACACACACACACACACACACACACACACACACACACACACACACACACACACACACACACACACACACACACACACACACACACACACACACACACACACTCACACACTGAGTCTTCTTGATTCCAGATTCTCTACAGACGCTCATCAAATGCACCAGGTAGTATTTTTAGCTTATCTGCACAGCATACTTTCAGATCCTGTCAGAGCTCCGCTGCAGAATGATCACAGTGGAAGTCAAGTCTTTGCCAGAGAGATAGAGAGGAAGAGAGGGACTCTGGAGCTGTGGACCAGAGCCTTTGTTTGCGTTTTTTGTTTGTGGCTGACTACTGTGAGTATTTTCATTCTATCCCCTCATGATCGCAGAGAATGACGGCTGAGCTCCGAGCGCTTCCCGCTGCTCGACTTAAGACCACCTAAGGCACAGCTGTGGCAGGGAGCGCTTCTGTACGTGCATTAGCACAGCCAATAAACCGGTGCTGAACGCAGGAGCGCAGACAGATTTATCCAAGGGCACACACACACACACAAACATACCACTAGTATGCCAAGTCACCGCCTGTCAGCCGCTCACACACACTGTGCTTTCCATCCCTCTCTCACACAGTCCGTCTCTATGTCATGCCTGTGGGTTATTAGCTGTATGATTGATCAAATGCCTCAGCACTTAGCTGTATGTCCCGCTCATTCTCCTTTTACTCTCTCCCTCTCCTCCTTGTCTTTTTTTTGCTTCAAGCTAATCCCTTCAAATGTTGTCTGATTTGGTGTCTTTGGTCCCCATGCTCACATTCCACAGTGTGGATGGTCCTGCTGCACACACGCTCTGCAGATTTCATTTAGTTTGATGATCTATTTGATCTATTGTTGCAAGAGAGTTCTTTGGTTTTTCTTTGGAATTAGTAGTCATGTGGAAATGGAAGTGCAAAATGCATCAGTATTTAATCAAAGAAAAACCTAATGATATTTCAGGAACAAACAACAGAGCAGAAAACAACAATCTTTCAGAAAATAAATATCCTTTTGAGATCGTTATTAGTTCACATCATGAAAGCACAGGCTGTGGCGTCTGTTCTGCTTTGAGAAATTAGTTTTCTATTTGAATTAAGTAAGTGACAAGTTGTGTTCTGTCACACATAGGATCTATTTGTTTCTCCTGTTTAGAAGGACCTTTTAAGCACTGAAACGTATTTACACAATAGTTTGTTTACACAATACTTTACTGAATTGTTGTGATGGTGTTGATTCTGCATTTCTCAATCTGATATGTTTCACACATTCAGCTGATTTCTTTAGTTGTCAGTACATTGTCCATTTGGCGAGGGTCAAACTCTGGTTGTTACCCAGCTTTGCTCTGATTGGTCCATTCTGAGAGTGGATTGATTCTTAATCATGCAGATCACAACCACCGGGGTGATAACTGGGACTATACACAGTTAGGGACGCACTCTATTGGATTTTCGTCAATACGCCAATATTTTCAAACTTGGGCCTTTTTCGATTGCCGAAACCAGTAAATGCACATGTTTGCCACATGGAGGTACATGTCATGGAATCATGTTGGAAACATTTTCCATTTCTGGCTGATATTTAATTTTCAAAACCTTTATTCTCCAGTAATGTCCTACAACCCTATACAGTATAGGCCTTATACTTCACGGTGTTGTCAACTAGACATGTCTGAACATTCAAACAATCTCTGATAAAAAGGTATCGAGAGATATTAGCTCAGTGTGCAATTCTTTGTCTGATTTCTGTCTTTGAAACATATTTTCATCTATGTCTTGTTTGGACAGCAACATTAAGGTTTCAAATGCTGCCATCTGAAGCACATCTGGTAGTTAGTTTAGTTAGATACCATGCATGGGCTGTATTTCACGGCCCAGTGCAGCTCATTTTGTGACAAGCATTTCCAGCACTGACTGTTCAAGTCATGCAAGGTTCATCGTAGAATAAACTCTGCTCTTTGAATCTAGATGAAGGCCCTCCGTGTACCTGTCCGCTGTGTGCGTCCGACTGGAGCAGCTGTGTGCCTCACAGTGAGGGTCTGCAGCTGTCCCGGGACCTGGGGGCCACCTACCTCGAGCTGCCCTCTCTCAACCACGTCTTTGTGGGACGCTACTTCGGCAGCGTGGTGAGTGGTCACATAAGGACATTACTTTTTCACCCGACATCCCATGACAATAACCCTTTAGAAATGTGTTAAAACCTTCCAACTCTCCCTGTCTGTTACACTCCATAAACTCTGCATTTCTTCGTAAACTGAGTAGAGGAGAAAAGGACAGGTGGCTATGTTGGTTCCTTCAAGAAGAAAGCAAAGAGTTGATGACGTAACATCACTATTTTGGTAACCTTGTATTTGTACTAACGATTGCATTTCTGCATTATCCAGCTGGAGTACTTCATGATTCAGTGTCTGAAACACAAAGCCAAAGAGAGGCCGGAGAAGAGAAGAGGAAATAAAGTGAACGATCTTCGCCCTCCTCACTTAGAGCAACCAGGTCAGAGGAATGCTATGGTATCTCAAAACTGCTTTTAACTGGCATTTCATTTTGATACCCCTATGAGGAAATAGGACCAACGGCCATTTTTTCTTTTTTATTTGTATTTAAAATGATTGAGTACTTATTGTTTTCTGTCTTTTTTGAGCATTTAGTCGGACTGACTGGATTGTTACTCCTACAGCTTACAAAGCTATAAAAACAGCTGAGCACAAAGGATTTGATCCAGATCAATATCCTCTGTAGCACACTGAAAAACAAGGGGAGAGAAAAAGAGCTAGGTAGACTCCTTTTCATTCAACGACATTTGAATCAATTCAAGACTGAACTGTTTTCAGCAACAGTGGGTTTTTCTGAGGCATCACAGTGATAGTTGTCGGGGTTGATTACCTATTAACGCACCTTTAACCATGCTTTCTTTAATTGATTATGGTTTTAAGATGACTTATTAGCCGTGTCTTTAAAGGTGCCGTCTCCATTCAGTAGCATCCTTAATGTAGGGGGATGTGTCTTTAACTTTAGTCCATCCTATTAAGGTTAAATATTTATGTCAGCTATGCAAGATTTATGCAAAATGACATTTGATTTTTCTTTTATTTCTGTCTGAAAGCAGAGCAAATCTCTGAGATGAATAATGGTAAAGATGCTTATATCATGTTTGGGGTATTCAGAAGATAGACAAGAACATTTCACACATTTTTCTTTTTGAGAAGCTGCAACTAGAGAATGTCTGAGAATGACACGCTTAGTTGTTAATCCAAAACTTTCCCAAAACTAAATGGTTCAAACCCTAATTAAGTTTTAATCTTTTTATTTGAAAGTCAGAATTTCAGATTGCATGTATAGTTATATTCAGAACAAGCCAAAGTGTGTCAAAATATTTCATTTTTCAGTCAGTTTGCAGCTGCAGACTGAATCATACTGCTCAGATAACACAAAACTCTTATCAATACAAGAGATAAAGGATCACAGTGAACAATGATCAAGAACATTTCACACAGCGAGCAGCAGAGATGCACCAAGGTTGGTTATTTTACAAAATATTCAAATAAACAAACCAAGATGGAGAGCTTGACGGATGCATGTCTGTTGCTTTTCCTGTATTTTAATGCTCTTATTTTTTTAAGACTTTAGACTTATGTTTTATCCCAATCGCCTAAAATCGGTGTGATTAAGTCTGCAAACAATTGAAATTCCTGGCTCACGAATGTTCGAACAATTGAAAGCTTTCTGAGTGTAATAATTGATTAAAAGAAAAAAACCAGATCTAGTTGTACAATCAATTTAAAAAATGGGAGTCCAGTAGTTTGTGTTGTGCTAAATTCATAACTACACTCCTGTCTCCTTTCATTACAACTAGACTACTACTGCCATGCCTGTTCTTTTCCTCATACAGTTAGTTTTTACAAAAGAAACCACCTTATTTAACACAAACTACGCTGTTCAATATCGATCTGGCCAGCTGTATCCGATGCATGACTGACATCTTTGAGTCCCGCCAGAAAGGCAGCAAGTGCTGGCAGATTTATCCGTGCCTGTCCAACACTACTTAACTCTGCTTATGCTGTGGCCTGCATTAAATATGACGTGCACTGACTCAGGAACAGCACAATTTTCACGGCCAAATCTGAGCAGCCATAAAAAAAGGAAATGAGTTCTACAGAGAAGGGAGCAGTGTGTGTTGAGCAAGGATAAGAATGTAATAGGACAATGATTTGTGAAGCCCCCTCCCCTCGCTGCTCATTCCTTTTCACTTTTGATTAAACGGAATAGACGTGCATTATACGTTTTTTCTCCTTATTTTTATTATAATAATAATAATATAATAATAATTATATTGCAGTGTTTTACTGCTACATAGTTCACTGCAAATCATTTATCTGCCATTTGACCTTTAAACATAAACCTTATTTAAGCTTTTAGATGTGCTTTGCTTCAATTTAAAAAGTGTTATCATCAAAATAATAGTGATTGTGAACTCTGTGTTACTTATTCTTCACCAAGTTTAAAACAAGGAGGAAAAAATACAGTCAGTGCAAAGACAAACATATCTGAAAGCATTTTTTTCCCCAACTTGAGCAGAATGGCATGGCACAACCTCACATTGGTCTCTCCTTTAGTTCTTTCTTGCTTTACTAAAATATCTCACTGCACTTTGTCTGTCACTATCACTGCATCACAACTCTGTCACTACATTCACCCAAATTCATCATCTAAAAAGGTGATAACACTAGGAGACGAAGACAAGGTAGATTGAGGAGAAACAAGTACACCAAAAAGTGCAAAATACCACACTTTCTCAGTGCTTTGAACATAACATATCTGGTGCTTTTGCCAACACGAAAAAGCAGGTGAGCTGAATTTCAGCTGTGACTGTTCATTACCACAATAATCCTATCCATCTTCCCCTCCTTACTTCCTCCTCCTCCCTCCCTTCAGCACGTCTCCCCCCCATCCGAGTGGAGGAGTCCAGCTTCTCCCAGGACATGCAGTGGTTGTTGGAGCGTGGTGTGCAGTTCGCCGATGTGGCTTTCTACGCCGGGGACTCTGGGAAAGAGCTGGGATGGGCGCACGCTGCGGTTCTGTGTGCCGTCAGTCCGTACTTCAGACAGCTGCTCCTTGGGCCCAAGACCAGGTAGGAGCCACATTAGCTTGTTCACACGATTGAGTGCTGCAAACTATTCCACCACCTGCAAACCACCTGAATGTTGCCCTCTGATTGGACAGGGAACGCCCCCAGTCGCGGTGTGTTTGCAGAGAGCGCGATGGAGGCCCCAACTCGCTGCTCTCCAACTGGGATGGGGCGATTATTGACGACATGCCACGATCAGAGGCGCACTCGACAGGACGCCTCTCTCGTCTGGTGGTGAAGGACCCCCTCCTGTGTATGTGCTTGTGGGAGACCCTCATGTTCATTTATAGAGGTAAATAACAGACACACACAGCACACTAGAGGCAACTGAGCAAAAAAACAAACAAATGTTTCGTTTCTTTCCCAGAAAATGCTCATTTCCATTTAAAGGGGTCATATTATACTCATTTTCAGGTTAATATTTGTATTTTGTGCCTCTACATTGACATGTTTCCATGCTTTAATGTTCAAAAAGGTCTTTATTTTTCTCATACTGCCTGTGCTTTCACCCTCTGTCTGAAACCAGAGCCCAGTCTGATCTGATTGGTTAGCTGGCTCTGTTGTGATTGGTCAACGGTTTAAAGATGAGTTGGAGAGCTAACCAATAGAAGCGCATAGCGATGTCCCTATTTTGCAGAATAAACAAAGGAGTCCAATGGAAGTTTTTCAGGGAGGGGGGTGTGTGGGGGAGTCAACTTCTCGATTTTAGCCTCTGCACACCCTTTACATGCACAAAAACCTATATAACACACTATAGGAAAGGTAAAACCCCAAACAGCACAATAGGGCCCCTTTAACTCTGTTTTTGCTTTAGATACATTTGCCCTATGTAGATTCCTCTAAAAGTTAGTTAAAAGATGAATGTATTATTTCCTTTATTGATAAATCATTTTTGTCACAAAATGCCCCAAATTATAATTTTCCAAAGCCAAAGAGGACAAATGTAAGTGTCTTGCATCAGTCCAAAACCAAAGCATTACCTTCTCTCTTTTTGAAGACAAAGAGAGCCTGAGTGGTCATCCATGTCAAATCTTATGGCAATCCATCTGGTGCGGTCTGCCCTCAGGGCTTAGATAGGTAGAACAATTCATCTAGAGCATTCGGGTCCTTTCTCGACTTAATGCTGACCCCCTTAGAGCAGATATTGTCACACAATTCTGCTTTTAGGCCGGTTTGAGATTTTCTCAGATATTTGAAGCACTCTGAAACCTAGCTCAAGTTAACATTTCAATATTTTCACGTTGTTACCTGCGTTGGGCAAATTTAAGTGCTATTTGTGTAAACGTTTATGCTGCAGGCTTCATTTTGTTATGTTTTAAATTGTTATTATCCAAGCAGCCCGTCATACACATTTTATTATAATTGAAGAGGCCTTTTTCATTATTATTAAGGTAGCATTTTTTCATTGTGAAAGCACTTTTGAGATTGGTTTCTCCGGGTTAATGTTTTTTTTATGCTGTGTTATGGTTGGGAGCTGGTTCTTAGGCTTTTTCCTGATCTGCTAAAATCAGTCTCTCCACAGAAAGATTAATATCTCTACGAGTTTTTCGGTCATTGGGGTCAAAAAGAGCATTCTGTGAAAAGAAAAGAAAAATCAATACATTGCACTGCAAAGTATAAACTTGAAATATGATATCGGCTTAGATAATCAGAAGTGAATTCTGGGGGAGGCTGCCAAATTCTGACTGTATTAAAAGATGTTGCAACCTAAATCACAACAACACAGAGGAGCCTCCCATCCCTGCTAGAAGATGCTCAACCCGACTCTCTGGCACCAGGATCTGAAGTACAGGAAGGGCCAAATGAGGTGGAGATCAGAATTCAGCACCGTCTCCAAAACAGCAGCCAACATGCACTTAGTGCAGAGAAATCCGGCTCATCAGTTAACTCCCATCACACCACATGATTTCTAGGAAAGGATATGCATCCCATTCTGCATTGCAATCATCAATCACTTCCTGCTTTTAAATGCCACAAGGCATTGACTTGCATTCATTGTTATTTTAATAACTAATTATTAGTTTAATATCGTATTGGCTTGTTCTTTTGCCTGTACATTATATTACATGAGTTAAAACGCACAACATGTTCTGCCATTAGGAGTCTCAACCAAAACAATAAAGCATTTGGTGGCTCAATGATGTAGTCCGGGATCACGGGGAACGTTGTCTTCAACACCATTTTGTTATTGTAGTCATCTTCTCCTGGTTAGCATTCCTTCAGGGATCATCGTTCAGGACGTTTTTTTACAGGGAGACGAAATATGTGCAGACATCTCCTCCTCTCCAATACACACCTACCCTAAAGCTGTTTCAGGTTAGAATCAGTGTCTCTCAGAGGTTGCTCTGCGTCTAACGTTTCCTCAGATTGTTTCTCTGATAAATTAAGATCCAGATGTTTTGGAGGTATTCACCAGGGAAAGATTCATCCCCAGAAGTCCTCTCCTCAACTCAAGAAACAGCATGGGTGTTACTACTTACTCTGATAATTAATCACATTACATGTAATGATTACCTACGCTATGGGGCAGGCTGCTCCTCCCAAAATACAGTCTGGCCTTCACCTCATCTTTAATTATTTTCTGGAACTAATAAAAACGGGATGTTAAGAGCATTCCATGGAATATAACAAAAAGTGTTTCTGAAATAAATGACATACCCCACCTTTAAGACATGTTTCCTTACGTTGCCAATAGAATGAAAAGGGGTAAAATCATGGTTTAAGATAAATATCACTTTTTTTAAATTACTGTTAGGATACGGTCACAAGAAAAAAGGGATCATTGAGGTCAAAAAGTCCATTTATGTCAGCTTCCAACCTGTGGACACATGTGCAAAGTGGATTTTCCCATTACAAGCAACCGAATGAAATGGATAGCTAGCTTGATTAAAATGACAGATTTCTTTAGTTTTGAGAACTGATGGAAGCATTTGGGATAATGTACACAATCTAACTAAATAAAAAAAACAAAGGTCTAGATAGGCTTTTAAAATATTTCAATGTCATATATTATAGCTTTAAATACAACTGGATGGATAGAGCTAGACATTCAGCCTGGAATTTCTATTCCCCTCCAGATGCAGTTACTGTTTTTCCAATAATTTAGATGTGATGATGAATGTCCCCCTGGCAGCAGAATGCTATTGGATCCTGTCCAATGTTCCATTTTGGTGAGGAACAGAAATCAGTCAATTGAAAGTGCTTGATTTTAAGCGGCAGTTGTATTTTAATCTAGTTTCTGATCATTCATCGTGTAATTCTGTGATCTCATGATGATTTCTTACTTGTAGTTAGATGCCCCGAGGCCACTCCTGTTTCCTTTGTCTCCAGCTCAGGCATTAAACACAATGGACACGTGGATCGGGACACTGAGCGACGTCTTAGCAGAGCCTCCATCAAAGCAATGGCTAATGAGATATGTTGATAGAATCTGACACAGTTACAGTTACATTCATAAATGATTCACTCTGTGGTGTAAAATGAACATTATGTTACATTAACTTTTATGAACTCCCAGGCACACGCAGGTATTTAACATGCAACCAAAATATTTGCAAATTGCATAAAAAAGGTTCTCTATTGGCGTGTTATTCGTATTTAAACATCCCTGTGATATTCTTTGCAACATCAGTGCCTTAATGAAAATGTTCTGGGTCTGCAGCTCAGGGGCTGCAGTGCTTCATGTGCAGTCTGCATGCTGTGCCGGAGCCCTCATGGCAAAAACGCTGCGCTCACATATGATTCATGGCCGCCTCTCAACATGTATGTGAGCAACACTGTTGGTCCGACACACATATACACCAGAGGCAGACACACATAGGCTGAGTGTGTGTGCGCTGGTGAAGGGAAGAAGATTATAGGGTTAGACTGAGTGACTATATGAATAAAAATAAGAAAGCCAGCGATGGAAAGACGGAGTGTGCAGTGTGTGTGTGTGTGTGTGTGTGTGTGTGTGTGTGTGTGTGTGTGTGTTCATGCACGCATATACACTTCCATGGAGTGGCTTTTTTCTCAGGGTAAGATAGGAAGCATACAGGAGTGGACATTTGCGAGCAAGGTGGAAAAACGGAGGTGAGGGTGAGAGACCGGAGGTGCTTGAGATGCTGGAGGTGGAGAGTGTTTGGGTGCCGGGAGAGCTGGGCACTAGAGCATACTGTAAATGCGTGTGTGGGGCTCTGAGAGAAAGGGAAATGCTTTCATGTGCAAGGCATTATACCAATGTCACGTTTCCAGAAAACACTGCAGGGGAGACTCTGTTAATTCTTGTGTAAAGAACTATGCTGAACCTTCAAAATAGTGGGTCAGATTGTACGTTTAAAGCAGCTGACCTCACATGCAGTGTATTCTGTGTTGTAGCACAGTGAGCCAATACTTAGCGTTCATTTTGCAGCAAATCCACAACGTGCCACCCTCAGCATTCCTCAAGATGGGATGCATTTCTTCTGCAGGCAATTCAATGCCACTCATTTGTCAGCTGTGGCTCATTTGTATTGGCTTGGCAGAACTCATTTCCATAACAATATCATGTCTATAAACGCTCACTCGTGTTATTATTCCGCGCTTGTTTTTTTGTCAATGCAGTGTGTTCACACAGTCACAGAGGCCGTGGCTGAGCTTGTGTGATGTTAACTCTGTGAGACTCTCTCTTTGTGTAGTGAGCTGCTGAATTATTGAGTTTGTCACTTGGGTTCTATAGTGTGTGTGTGTGTGTGTTTAGTACATATACAATGTGTGTGTCAGATGAATCCTTCTGTGATTGTGCTCATCTTGGCTATATTTAGACGAGAGAGCAGTTGTTGTAATTTATCAGTAGTTATGGAAAAGGTTTAGGAAAGACAGGAAATCAGCGGTTGTTCCCCAAAAATCTATTCTGTCAGCATTTGTGTTGATGTGTTTGTGTAGCTGACTGCAAAGGAATACACAACCACAGAAACATATTTGTGAGAATATAAATGAATGAAATGATGTAGCATCATTGCAGCTTTTGCTTTTTGCATTTGAATTCCAGTGTATCCTGTTGAGTTTGTTTCCATCATGTGTTTTTATTTTGTGTTGGGTTTGTCTCCATCATGTGTTTTTATTTTGTGTTGGGTTTGTCTCCATCATGTGTTTTTATTTTGTGTTGGGTTTTTCTGCCTCATGTGTTTTTATTTTGTGTTGGGTTTGTCTCCATCATGTGTTTTTATTTTGTGTTGGGTTTTTCTGCCTCATGTGTTTTTATTTTGTGTTGGGTTTGTCTGCATCATGTGTTTTTATTTTGTGTTGGGTTTGTCTGCATCATGTGTCAGCCCCAAAGCTCCTGAGCTAATCTCTCTCCCCGCCTCTGAGGTGTCTGGGCCATGCAGCGTTATCATCCGGCACCGGGTGTGGAGGTAATCCCTCTATCAGCCCAAATACCGTCATTATGAACTAATGATGAGATAAATCCAGCCCCGTCCGGCTCCCTCTCCCCTCAACAGCCTGTTTATGTGTCCCACTGAGATAAAGTGCGCCACCTCAATCAGCTGCAGGGCTGCAGGCTTTATGAGGGAGGAGGATCCCTCTGAAGTAAACACATGCAGCACAGATGCAGAGTGGAAACACTTCACTTTTTCTTTTTTGACGGTGACTTAATTTTTGTTACAGCCCAAATGTGTATTTCTCTATTCATTGGAATCCATATTACTTTACATTACATGTTACTTGTTAGACGCTTTTATCCAAAGCGACTTACATACTCAATACTGTGGGCAATCCCCACAGGAGCAATTTGGGGTGAAGTGTCTCAGGGACACAACGACATGCTGACTGCAGTGGGGTGCCATAATCCTCTAGCATGAGGTTCACATTAATGTGGAATGTCTCAATAATAATATATTGGTGTGATAGTTTGAGTTTCTAAGCATGTATGCTCACAGTAAACAACTGAATTTACATTAATAATAAAAACATTTATACAATGATTTTGCAAATGTGTACATGTATCTACATATATGTACATGCATATATTCATACAGTACATACATATAACAATGACCATACACTTACATAAAAGATTGCACATACTATGTGATAAAACAGCAATGTGCAAGTCATATTTTGTTTATGATCAAATACCTGCTCACCTGACCTTTCATCCTCCTCAGCTGTGCTTTGTTTTTAATGCTTATTAGCAAATGATGGCATGCAACACATTAAAGGTGGATGCAGAACAATGTAAACATGACTTTCTTCACATCAGTATGTTAGCTTTGTAAATGGGAGCATGTTAGCATAATGGTGTGGATAACAAGCAACGCCCTCCCTCAATACAGCCTCACTGAGCTGCTAGTAAGGCGGCAGACTCTTGTTTAAACACACTAGTGTTTAAACTGTGTTTTCAGCTTGGAAAACTTGTCCATATTATCGATGTGATCGGATTGAAGTTGAGTAAAATGCAGAAACTTTAATTGACTGTACCTGTAATTTAAATGAGCAAAATGTGGATCAAAGTTGTACACATCCTAATGCATTTGATTAAGGCCTAGTGCTTTGATTGGCAAAGAATTGCATGATTAGACGGCAACCAACTGGAAAAACACTGAGCTTTTAAAAAAACTGACCTAAAGTAGAACACAATTCTAACTATTATCCAATTAAAAGGGAGGCAGATTTGTTATGGCCACTTGTGTGTTTTGCAAACGCCTGGGTCACTGTTTCTGATACTCGTGGAATCTGGACAGCTGGTTCCACCCATAACCACAATAGATGATATAAGCAGACACATTTTTAGAAGGACCTAACTTTGTCAGCACCAGAGTAAGGTATGTGGGTGTTTTAGGACACAGTGCCAGCTCCAAAAGAGTTTGCCTGTGTGTTTCTGTAAACAGTGCTATTGTGGGTCTGAAGAGTCTGTGTGTTTGTGGATGTTTCAGGAGCGTGGGAGTGGGATCACCTACAGGAGGCGCTGGAAGAGAAGCTGAAGAATACACTTGCTGCGGCTCAGCTGATTGAGCGCATACGATGCCTCATCGGCAAAGAAAAGGTGAGGACTTCAATGTTTAAAATAACCTCTCTTACACTTACATTCACGACAAAGCACATACTGAAAAATACATAACATTAACTCACCTCTGTTTGGACAAGTATAGATCACGACAGAAGAAGAAAAACAAGAATATCTTGTGGTGTGGATGCTATAACAGTTGTCTTTGCAAAAAGAGGTTAAATATTTACAATCTTTCAAATCTTTGAAGTTATGAACACTTGTTTTCATAGCTGCAGACTAACGGCGCCTTAATTAACAAGACCATGTTTGAAAAACAGCCCAGTGATAAGTGGCTATAATTAGCTTATTTGCATATTATCTGCCTGCATCACCCCTCAGATACTGTGGGAACTAGGACAGAATAAACAAGAGATGCCTTCAAAAGAGAAGGACATTCTCACAATTACTGGAAGATTTCAATCTGCAGCGTCGCATCTTAAATGTATTGTGTCTATTTGGGAACACGAGGTGTAATAGGCAGGCAGCAGAATTTGACATTAGAGACGTCAGGAGAGCTGACATATCTGCGTCTGACAAGCCCCTGGCACCATGCACGGCCCACCAACCCATCTGTAAGGAACTAGGTCTTTTACCTGAGGCGGTGCTGACACACCGAGTGACAGCTGGGCTACTTTAACGCAATGAGACACCATAGTGTCCTGTCGTGATGTGATCTCCTCCTCTGAAAACACCTCGGGGTCCCCTTGCTCTGCGAGGAAACCGGCTGAAATTCGCTTTTTTCTGTAAGCTGTTCTAATGATGTACAAAATCGAAGAGTCTTGATTCTGTTGCTGCCTTCTACTGAGGACTGTGTGTTTGCCGAGCGCTCCCTCTGCAGCAGAGCAGTGCGAGAATATGAAGTTCTTTGTGCTCCAGTTGACTGAGAAAGGTCACTGGATGGAAATGGGGTGCTTTGAGGAGACTCACTTAAAAACCGCTCTCCAAAAAGACACCCTGACAGCTGCTAACTCCACCTCTTGTGCACTGCAGCAAATACTCATCGTGCATCCTTTGAATGCTTAAAATGAAAAGGAACACCACGTTAAGAAATTGACAGTTTGGACAAGTGTGTGGTTGCCAGTCTGTTCTCAGCAATAGCCCATCCCGTCATGTCGATCTTGGCATTGCAATTTAAGAATGTTTGGGTAGGGCTAAGAAAGACTGGCAGAAGGTTCATTTGTATTCAACGGAGGAGGTGGGATACATGCATGGAATGGCAAATGAGCTGCTAACTAGTAGCTGACATCCAGCAGTGGAATGTAAACTCTCTCTGTACTTTCCTTTTGGCTTATTTTTCTTCTGTGTGTGTGTGTGTGTGTGTGTGTAGGGCCCCAGGGACACCCCCAGCGCCAGGGCGGCTCAGCTCGGCCCCCAGACTCTTGTCAACCTCTTCAATTCTCCTCTCTACTCTGACGTCATCTTCATGGTGCAAGGTGGGCCAAGTCTTATCTGTTGGAGACGTTCACAAATGCATGCGCCGTCACACCGCAGAGGAAGGTCACATTTAATTAGCCCTGATTGAATTATGTCGTCAGTCCAGGGTCTGGGCATACATTTTGAGGCAAATTAAAAGAGGAATGGTCCAAAGGGCGATTTTTCCAATTCTCTATTAAAAGGATCAAATCCAGAAATAATGTCCTAAGGCCTCTTCTAATCAATATTTATCTCATAAGAAGTGCAGCGAGCCGTTCGTGTCCTTGCACCCCTGAGCTGTGAGTTAAACTCAGTGAGGTCACAGAGACAAATGTCTACAAGAATATTTTACGCTTCTTCTACGTTTTTTTTTACACTAGCCTTCCAATGTAATGTTTTGGGAGCTGTCACTGGCTGTTAATGGCACTTAATAACAGGACTTGTGCAAAAGATTTACATGTCTTTGGTTTCCTGTTCATTTAAATGGCCCATTATAAGAGATCAACACTCATAACCAAAGCATGGAGTCACGTTTGACCTCTACTCTTCTGCAATGAGGGAAAACAGACGTGTCAGTGATATTAAAGAGGCCCTATTATGCTTTTAGGCCTTTTCCCTTTCCTGTAGTACTGTCCAATCGCAACAGAGCCGGCCAGCTAACCAATCAGAGCAGACTGGGTTCTTTTTTCAGACAGAGGGTGAAAAGAGGTGCTGCAGCACAGGCAGTAGGATAAAAATAAAGAGCTTTTAGAACATTAAACATGTCACAGTAGAGGATCAAAATACAAATATGAACCTCAAATTGAACATAATAGGGCCCCTTCAAAGGGTTTGGCTTGCGGAAAATAATACAAAATCTGTATGGGTTTGTGAACGTCTCCAAACATTATTAGATCAAAGAGGCTTTCTGTTTCTGTCACTCAAGATTCAATACATTAATTACAAACTGTTTATTCTCTCAGGCGTTTCCTGTCGCAGCTCTTTGGGACTTAGGGACGCTACTATGAAATTCTAAACCTAAATGTAGCATGTGTGTGTTTGTGTGTGTGTGTGTGTGTAATTTTAGGGAGTGTGTTGCCAGCCCACCGAGCGGTGCTGGTGGCTCGCTGTGACGTCATGGCGGCCATGTTCAGCGGGAAGTATGCGGAGGCCCGGAGCCGAGTGGTGCCCATCCACGGAGTCTCTTCAGACACCTTCCTGTCCTTCCTGGAGTATCTCTACACTGACTCCTGCTGTCCTGGTGAGTTCACTGCCCACTGCTGGGTTACAATTACATTTAAAGGTCGCCAGTTTAGGTGCCCTTATGGGATGTAAAAACTGCGACGGGAGGCCTAAATATAGTCAGGAAATATCCCTGCTTTCCTCTTTATGTTGTGGACTAATTAAATCCCTTAGCAGATTTATTACAGTCGTGAGATGATTGAACTGGGAAACCCTCAGTCAGCGTGTCATTCATTCACTCCACTCTAACTACCCTCTCAGGCTGCTGCTGTAAATAAAAATAAGAGTTTTATAAGGGATAACATCTCTAAATAGACAGGTCATGGATTTGTGACTGAGATAAAAGTTGCTTGACATGGATCAGACCAACATCATGACAGTGTGAAGGACAATGGACCTTTGATGGCCTCTTCATTTACCGCAGAAATAAGCACCATTACAGAAACACTTGAGAGCGGCACGGCGGTGTTTTCCCGCCTCGCTCCCCAAGCGCAGCCCAAAACAAAAGCGCAGATGAAAAGTCCCATCAACCATCTGTGTGACTGCGACATGCTGCCAGTGTCATTCTCGAGGGGGCCCCGCGGAGAACAGCAGCAGGCTTAACATTAAATTAGAATTAGTGATGACAAAATCAGCCCGTGGCATCGTCTGCTTTTAGCGGTGCCAACTCCCAGCCCCAAACGTGTTGTTGTGGTTGTCACTTTCTTTCACCGCGTAGTACAATTCATTTTAAAAGTAATTACTGCTGATCATTCACTGGTGGTGGAGGCGATGACATTATCTTTCTACAACCTTGAAGATACATTAATTCATATTTGTATTGTACCCGCGAATCAAGCGTTACAAGGGTGACTGTAGCGTAATACATTATTTTACGGAGATAACTCATTATTACATTTCCAATAAAAAAACGTTTCAATTCATGAGAATTTGTTTAGGAAACCACATCCCAAGGTTTCTTCATCTCAAAGAAGTTGCCTCCCCTTGTGTATTATGTGGGCACCTTATCAAATTATACTTTGTAATGTAATTTAGCAATAAGTAAATATCTTGTAATTGTAGCCCCAAATCAGACTGTGTTGATTTGTTCTAAATAGGCATAATTCATATATATGTATTTTCATGCTAATTAAGTGATAGCCTTTCTGCGTAAGGAACTAAAACAATATATCCAGACAGGGGCGGACTGGGACTAAAATTCAGCCCGGGACTCTCGACCGGCCCACCTCGGTACCGCCGGCCCACCTCGGTACCGCAAGTAAATTCCGCTAGTTAAATTGTCGATGGGGGGGTGGGGGGGCTAGTGACCTATCCGACCGGCCCACATCATCGGACCGGCCCACTTCAGTACCGGTCCATCGGGATTCGTCCCGAACGTCCCGATGGCCAGTCCGCCACTGTATCCAGATGAAGGATATCTCCATGTAACAAACTGTTGCACCTCCTCTCCACAATGTACCTGTAGCTTTCCCTGTTGTGCTTGATCCCTCTGAAAATCAACAGCTCTGAGCATCTTTGGCAATTTTTACCTTTTTTTTCACCCAGACAAACAAGATAATAGCAGTTCTCACTCCACAGACTTACACACTAGATTGTTTGCTTCCTGTCCGGTGACAAAATTGCTTCGAGTCACGATAAAAGACAGAAACCCCCAAAACTTTTTAGAAATGCCAGTGACTACTGACCAAAGGGACTCCATTGTATTGCTTTGCTTTGTGTCTGCTGGCTCTTTGTTAAAAGCTTAGCTAAAACAACTGGATGAGCTGAAATATGAAAAAAAGGGTTCTTGTTGTGTTTATTTTGGAGTTTTTCTGCCCCCTAGTGATGCAAGATTACTTAATACAGCTCTGAACGACAAGCTTATGCAGTCATGCTTAAAGGGACTGGGATTGCAGTGAGTGTATGTGTGTGTGTTACTGTGTGTGTGTCCATTGTGACATCACAAGTAACTGTAGTCCTGCTTGGATGGAGCCTCCCAACAACAGATGATTACAGATTCAAAGAGACACTAAAAACAATCCATTACGACCCCTAATGAATAGATAAAGCCTTCAAACTGTAAACTAACAATTACAGATTTAATCACAACACTGTCTGTCATCTTCTCTTCCTGTACTGTTATATAACGAAGCGGCTGAATGGACAATAAAAAAAGCTCAGAATAATCCATTCAGAAAAACCAGCTACTGAGAGAGAACTGGCAATCCCATTATTTCGAAGAATGAGACGTTTTGATGAAAAAAAAAATTCGTGAAAATCCTTCAACAAGCCACGCGTGAGATGCAGCTTAGGAGCAGGGAGGGTGAGCCCGCTGTTTGCAGAGATACAGCTTCAGGTTGAATCATGTGAACAGGAAATTAAAGGAATGAAGCAGCTCCAGAGGCTGCTGCACTGTTATGTAAGAGCTCAGCGCTCAAGGTCAACCCAAGGTAACTCCACCAGCAGTGACTAAAAGTGAGGGCGTGGAATCAAAGGAGGAGGAATATGGTGAATCCTGTACACGGTGTGTGATAGTGGAATACATTTCCACTGCCTTCTTCTGTGTTTGGATGACTGCGCAGTGTGTGCAGAGAATTGACTGAATGAAGTCACATCAGGCGTCATTTGATTTGTCGTTCTGACGTTACGTAAGAGGATTGACGTTAGTTGTGTGACGTTGCTTTTAAGGACGTCATTTGACAGCTTGGAAAGAGCAACAGGAAATGATGCATCTGCTGTTTTCACTAAGATTGAGTCTGTGTGATTATAATGTGTCTTTTAATCTAAGAAATTGTGTGGTTTTAAAAAAGGATTTCCATTAAATCAGTCGGATCCATCTGGTGTTCAATCTTAGAGACTGAAAGAAGATAGAAGACTGTGCAGAGCAAATATAAAATAACACACAAGTATAAAAGCATGAATACATATTACTGTTCTTGTTTTGTGATTGAAGGTTTGTGTCAGTATTACTTCTAGGGCTAGTTTTAAAAACAACTTAATGTAAACAATATTGAAGTGCTATTGGTTTATACAGTTTAATCTCCTTTTAGCTGTTTTCTGTGAAGAAGCCAAAAACGTCCAAACATTTGTTTCTAATGCCCTTTCTCAGTCAAACAAAAGGCCCATTTTTTAAGATCAGGGGATCTTTTATAACAAGAAAACAACTAGTTCTCTCACGAAATCAGGATGTCCACATTCAAGATGGCGACTGTCTGAGGGATTAATAACAGAAAAGTAAGTGAAGGCATACATCTGCAATTTATGACTCGATTCTTAAAGAGATGAGGACTGATCTAATAACACAAAAACACAATGCAGCTCCTGCCGTGGTAGACCTGGATTTGAATACAATTGGATGCTTGATAAATAATGGGTACTCCTAAACTGGCATTCCTGTCTCGGTTAAACATTGAAAGTAATAACAATTGTTTTCTTGTGATAGCGGATTGATTGTGTTGTTATCTTGAGATAACAAACTTTGTTTTTATTGAGATAGCTAAAAAATAAACTTGTTATCTCAAGATAATGCCATTAATAAAAGTGTTTTGATAACTCGTGAAATTCATATCTGGCTCTTTAGCTGCTTAATGTTCCACTCTATTCAGCAGCCTTATTGCTAACCCTCTCTCTGAGGCATGGTGGGTTTTTCAAACGTCTAGCTCAGAACAGCTTGCTGCTTGTGCTGAGAATGCAACTTGTGAAAGCAGTGAGAGTGAAACAAAACTGCAAAGTTGTTTGTAGCATTCTCATGTAAGATGCTGCTGGATGTTGAAAGCAGCATGTGTGAAATAGACAAACTAAATCATTGTATAACTATAGGGTAGTTTAAAGCTTCTCAAGGCAATCCCGGTGTGGCTCATTTCCAAACACATATTGAGCAATAATCATAAAAACACCTACTTAACTTCAGGGAGCGTTTAAGCCTTGGCTTTCCTCTCGGGGACTAAACTCTTAAAACGTGTCAGGCTATCGTATACATCTGGAATAAACTGTTCTCTACATGATGTTCCAGCAGTGTAAGTGTAACACCTGTGTGTGTGTGTGTGTGTGTGTGTGTGTGTGTGTGTGTGTGTGTGTGTGTGTGTGTGTGTGTGTGTGTGTGTGTGTGTGTGTGTGTGTGTGTGTGTGTGTGTAGCCAGTGTGCTGCAGGCCATGGCCGTGCTGGTGTGTGCCGAGATGTACCAGGTGAAGCGTCTGCAGCACCTGTGTGAGGTGTGTGTGTGCGCCTACCTTCAGAGCATGCCCAGTAGAGAGCTGTCGTCGACGGGCATCAGCGTGATCAGACTCCTCCGCCGAGCAAAGGTCTGTACGGCTTTGAATTCAGGGATGAATGGAGAGCATTAAAAGATCCTGCAGCAGACGCCATATTGCTGTGTAAACTGATTACTTCTTCATTATGATGCGACATTTACTTCAGCCGCAAGAGCAAAGCAACTTCAGCCAAATGCTTTTTTCTGGAGCAATTCATCTTTCAGCTTTAGGAATCCATGTGCAACAGATGTTCATGTTTATCTGTCCAAAAGCATGCATTCTTCAGAGAGTGATTGTTATTTGTGTGTGTTTGGGTTTTCAGTGCCACAATGCAGAGCAGCTGTACATCTGGCTCCTCCACTTTATCGCCAACAACTACCTGATCTTCAGTCACAAACCTGACTTCCTGGAGCTCTCAGGTCAGTGTGGGAGGTTTTTTTTAAATGTAGTAAATTGTATCAAAGCAATCACAAGGTGACAGGCTAGTCCCTGATTCCCCCTCAATACAGGAGTGAACATATATAGTAGATAATACGAGGCCCTTATGACTAGATTTGAGGAGAATCTGTGGTGTTTTATTTGAGCAACCTTTTCATTTTTATATGATATTTTCTCTCGTGTCTCCTCCTGATATGTTTCATTGCTCTTGCGTTTACTTCATACCTCTCCCAAAATGCACAGTTACTACATTTCTAAAACTAAAATCTCTGTACAGCAGAGTACATAAAACTGATTTAGTGTGGAGGTATATTTTGTGATGCTGTCCCCAGAAAAAAAAAATGTATTTTTTAATATCAAACAAGCCTTGTGAGGGTTGTGCACACTTAAAGCGCTGAAGAGAATGATAGAAACATTAAAACAGCTGATTTCAACCATTTTAAATAATAATTAAGTCCAAACGCCTTCAGGCTGTTAAGCATCTGTTGTTTTTCTCACAGTAAATGTAAGAAAATGTCCCACTTTCTCTAATAAAAGTTCTAAAAGAAGGTAGCCTGATAACCAGAATTATTTTTGTATGTGTTGCACTGCGGCCATATACTGCAGCACAATATGGCAGGGTTTATGGATGACACTGTGAGCTGTCAGCCCCTCTGAATAATGCATCCTTATAGTATGCTTATACTATAAGTTTATGCTTGAGTTACATAATAACTGCTTCTCGGTTATTATAGCCATATGTATTTAATAGAAGCAGTTAAACAGGTTAGTGGCAGAAGCACATTTTATTATCATCATCAGTCAAACACACAATAATCCTTTAAGGTCATTGGACGGGTACTTAAGGGCACAGGAGAAGTAAAGGCCAGAGTAATCGATCACCGCTAATCCTCTGTAGCTTGTTGGTGTAAACTGTATTGGAAACAATCCAAGGTGTTATGCTGTCAGAGTGAGTACTGTATGTGTCAGGAACAGTACATATTGTAGTAATGATTGAGATGTGTTTGCAGGACGTTACAGTTTCTATGTTGTTGTGTTTCCAGAGGAGGAGCGGGAGCAGGTGGAGAGGCTACGCTGGCCGTCCAGAGGCTACCTGCAGGAGCTCAGCGAGTACCAGCAGCGGAGACGCAAGCTACGCAAGTCCCGCTGCATAGTCATGTGACCTCCCCTGACCGCCTGAAACAAGAGGGAGGAGAGAAGAGAATCAGTGACACTCATCACGTGGAGGAACTGACTTGTTCTGCTGGATGAAAGGCTGATTGTTGCGTCATCAGACTTCTTAACCAATAGGACGCTTTGTGGAGCGGTGACACGCCTCTCCTCCCCCTGAAGGAATGGCTGCGCATCCTTTAATGAATGACTTTACAATCACGTGCAATACAAAATGCCTCAAACCCCAATATTAAACATGACCAGAGGCTCTGTGAAAGATTATATTTACATTCGGTGAGGATTTCTACAAAAGACACAGAATTACACAATAATTATTAAAAGACCGCACATCTGTTGGAGAACTTGCCGGGATCGTTGCAGGAAGGAAACTGTTCCACTACTCGGAGGATGTTGGATTATCATCTGAGCGCTGGAGAAATGAACATGGCCCATGATGCATTTATGTCCCTAAAAGTGAAATGTTTCCCGAGCCTCTGACTTCTCTGTGGCTCGATCAGTATTTCAGCGGTTCATTAAGAGAGAGAGTGAGTCATCTCCATCTGTAGTCTGTCAGGACGCCCTTTATCAGACCAGCAGGACCAATTTAATCACAATTTGCTTATTCAGATTATCTCAGATCACTGACTCTGACTTTTCTTAACATTTTAAAAAGAGAATACATTTCGGTCGTTACCCGTCAAAAGAGGCCCTTATATTTTTATTTAGAAAAGACTTGAAATGTCATTTTAATGTAACTACATATCGCCTGTATCAAAAGTTACAATACATTTAGGACAGTAACAAATGTATATTTAAAACTTTCCTTGAAACCCCTGTAACCACTTCCTTAGCAGGTTCCAATGAAATGATGTTGACAGTATTCCCTTTCTATTTGCAATAACACCTGATAATGGTCTGTCTCATTAATACAAACAAGCCTTTTGTAGCATTTACATACAAATTTAGGAAAAGCAACCATATCATGAACATACGTTGGAACACTAAAAACCACAATGCCTCTGGATGGATAACAATATTTATTTGATCCTAGTTTTCTTATTTGAGGGGTTGTTTTTAATCATACCGAGAATATGATTTATTGGTGCTGCAAATTATTATTTTTGTAAACTAAACTATGTGGACATAATTATGACATGCTTTTTTTTTTACATTCGGAGTAGAGGGTCTCGCTATTTTACAGTCTGCTGTTTCGCTGGTATTTACTTAAAAAAAGGTGCATGATTATATAAAAAAAAAGAACATGGGGGGGGGGACAGGAAGACAGCAACTTATGTCAGAATGACCTTCAACAAAATGAAAAATGTATTGTGACATTTTGCAGCTATTTTTTATTCAGTAGGTTAGTCCTTAACAGTAATCAAACAGTATGTAATAGTATTTGTATCGGGTACTTTAGCAGAGGTGTAGCAGCAGGCTGTTAGTATAGTACTGTAGATGGTACTGCTGCTGCATCACAACAGGAACATCAATCCCACTAACAAACCACATAAACCCCAATCTACTCCTAAAAAGAAATGAGTAAATAACAGCAGGAAGAGTGGACTGTAAACATGTGTACTCCAGCGCTGCACTCAGTGTGGGCTGGGGTTGTACAGACGTCTGACTTTAAATAAAGACATGTTTTAGAATGAACAGCATCACAGACTTGATCCATGTTTGCGCTCTGCTGTGTTTGTATTTTATTTGGCAGAACTCATTCTGCGTCTCCCTCCTCTTGCCTCTAGAAAATCCACCTGTGTTGTCGTCAGATTGCTGACAGGTTCAAATAAAAACAACATAAAGTGTGTGGGAGAGAAACTCCTCCACATTCAACAACAAACTAAATAACACACTAAAGGGAAGGGGAAACCCCCCAAAGCATAATAGGGCCTCTTCAAGTTGTAGTTCTTCGGAAAAAAACGTTTTATTTCAAATGTGTGTTTTTTTTCTCATTGATTAACCATTTTGACTTTTTTTTTTGTAATACTACTACCCTTCTCCAGCGCCATAACAACAACTATTTGTTAACCATTTGAATCCATTAGCCCTAATACGCTTTCAGAGAGATGAACATCATTCTTCTCAAAATAAATGTCCCTCTTTTTCTGGTTTGGTGATGTTGGTAGGATCAGACTACATGATGCCTTTCAAGCTTAGATTAGGTCAGATTAGGAGATCACAGCCAGTCCTTTGTGCTGTGAAGATGCTTAAAGACATGACAGACAGCGATGGACTGGCAGGAAATAACTTGACTAGCCTTTGCCTTTGAGTCAGGCCATTATACTGCCAACCTTATAAACTCTTATCTAATTATAACAAGTGTCAAAATCTTGTATGGCTGAAAATCCTCTGCAGTCACTCTGCCTCCTCGCTCAATCACTCAGGGGCTTCCTTTCATTTATCCCCCATCTGTTCATTTCAATCAGGATTTCAAACGGTGTGGTCCTGGAGCAGATTTACCACTAAGCAATTACTTCTTATCTCTTTGAGCACCACCTCGGGCGTCTTATTTCCTATCATTTATTCCCACCCTAATGAGAGTTTTCGGCTTCTAATTTATGCTCTTAATCACTTTCTGAGGGGCAACACCTACCTCCTTTTGCTCCCCTGCTATTGCAAAGGCTTAGCTGTTTACCTTTTTTCACTATACGAGTATGTGTGTGTGTACTGTACCTGGAGGAGTGCAGCGGGTCACTGCAGGGCTCCAATAGACTGCAGCATGCTCTCCAGTTTACCGCTCTGATGCAGCGCCATCACGTCGCTGCCGCCTCCGATACACTCCTCTCCGATGAACACCCGTGGGACCTACATTCAAACCGATACACGAGAAACAGGGATGCAACTGGTAACTATGCAGGCATCGATTTTTTGTGTTGTGCATAGAGTCTATGAAGATAACAAGACCTTTTTTTCTACCATCAATCCCTTTAACGTATCGTATCATACACATAACGTATTGTACAGTGACAGGAAAAGGATAAATCGGCAACAGTTGGATGGTTCCAGCTGCTCAAGTATGAATATTTGCTGATTTTCTGATGACTATTTGGAGTAATTTGGAGGTTTGTAGTACGGGTCGGGCAATGACACACATTGATGATGTCACTCGAAGCCCTGAGTGGTTGTGCTGGGACTTTGTCACTTTCTGTTTACACACCAAACAGTGCATGACTAAAGATGTCTAAAGAAATTGCAGTGTGAATGCTGACACTACACTGAATAGTCAGCTTAAAGAAGCTATTAGAAGAAAGTCAAAAAGTAGGGAAGAGTGTTTTTAATTATTATAAATGAAATTGAAACATTTGAATTAGAATTAAAATTGTATGAAAGATGTGGATCATTAGGCTTTAAAATATATTATAATAAAGACAGTCATCTATAGTTGTAGACAGTCTGCTTTAAAATAAATGCATGAGTCATAATAATATTGTGATCATTTATACTAGTACAGGGAGCATAGTTTTGAGCTATTTTAGTGGTATTTGGAGTATTTTGAGAATAGTAAATAGCCTGGTACTTTCTTCTGCATCTTCTACCACTGCATATATAACTGTAACATGATTCATTGTATCCATGCAGACACACATAGGTTCAAACCATGTTTTCAAAAGCTGACCATTATTCTTTGATCAGACATATTGGATCTTCATGATGTAATGTTGCTACAAACATGTAAGTGAGGCTAGTGGGTTGTGTTGCTGCATCTGGGAGACTCCCTTATTGATCTCACAGTACTGAATCTTCATTAATGGATTAAACGGGAAACTGGTCAAAAGCAGGGAATTAATCAGAAGTGTTAACATATTCATCACAGCTAATATAGACAACAATGCTACTACATCATCCCGTTAGTTTGAAACCATTAAGTCTATGATGTGTGTGTTAAAAACCTTCACTTTTTTCCTCAATTAGACACACTGACTTTATAAGATACACACATCTAAACTGTGGTGTTTCCCGGGTTTGAAAGTGACACTTGCGTTGTTCAAACAATGACAAAGCAGCTCGTGTTTACCGTGCGGGCTCCGGTGAGTTCCAGGAAGTACTGCTGCATGTTGTCCATGTCGGTGCGGCCACTTATATCAATGCACTCCAAATGTCCCGGCTTGAATTTATACTTGGACAACACGTCTTTGGCCGTAACGCAGTACGAGCACGTGGGCTTAATAAAAAGCACCACTTTGTCTCCTTTAATTTTGGTCTGCACAAACTGCTGCGCCATTTTTCAGTCGCTGGGTAGAAGTGGACAGAAGATGAAAAGTGAAATCAAGAACAAAGATGATCGCTCTTCCTTTGGTGAATTATGGTGTTCTGGAGGATGACGTCAGAGGCAGGGTCCTCCTTCTTAAAGAGACAGTACACACTCTGCATGTGAAGGACTTTGGGGGAGGGTCTGCAGTGGTCATGGGGTCTAATAATACTTTCAAGCTTTAATGATGAGTAAGGGCAGTGGTGTTTTGTAGTGAAGTGCATTTACTCAAGTACTGTACTTAAGTACGATTTCAAGGTACTATTTAGTTTTATGCTACTTTATACTTCTACACCGCTACACTTTTGAAGCCATTGTACTACTACATATTGTACTTTTTACTAAATGTATTTGACAAAACTTGTTACTTTACAGATTCAGATTATAAAATAAAACAAAAATATAAATACACAAATAAATAAACTATGATACATAGTTATTGGTTGAGGCTTAAGATATCCAGCAGCATTATATAAAGTAATTACAAATAATAATTATCCAGTAATTTAATATATGTGATTCTAAAATGGGACATTACGCATAACAAGTACTTCTACTTTTGGTAGCCTACTTGTGTATATATTTTAATGCCAATACTTTTGGACTTTTAAGTAAGATCTTAAATGCAGGACTTTTACTTGTAACCGAGTATGTTTACACTGTAGTGTTTCTATTTTTACTGAAGTCAAATATCTGAGTACTTCTTGCACCACTAAGTAAGGATTAATGTGTAGCAAGGCGGCCGTTAATGAAAAACAACTCCAACATGGTGATCCATCACCATGGAGGTTTATTATTACATGGCTGTGTATTCAAAATAGACCAACGACTTGACTCAAAATATTGATTAAAAATGATTTTCATAATAAAAAATGACTGTACAGCTGTGTAGAAGTGGCTGGAATTACGACAACAGCGTCTTAAAACTGATCGAGGGTTTCTGTAACTGTCCAAGTCTGTTCACAGTTTCTTTTCCATCAAACTGTCAACAAGTCAAGAGCCCAAACCCATTAGTGTTGACTTCCTGTCAGTCTATTTCTTTTGATTTCTCTGACATCAAGCGCTTTCTTTGATCCTCTTTACACTGCAGACCTTTTAGACATCATGAATCTAAAGTGTTTTGCTCTCTACAAATATAAATGAATAATAATTGTGCACAGCTGACGTTACATTTAACAGAATTCTTTCTGCGGATTGATGTCTGCACAGTCCCTAATCCTCCTTAGCAACGGTCATGTTCTCGTTAGCAACTCTCTGTTAACTAAAAGTAACAACCCGGAATTTCCAAATTGACCAATCAGATTCGAGCATTTACCTAAGGCACGTAATAAAGTGAGATATACTACTACCAAGGCTCAGGATACCAGTTCATGAGTTCATAACCTCCAAACTTCTGACCCATGTGGAATGCATGTGAGGACAATGTTAAATAAAGCTATTTGACACGGGAAAGGGTCACACCAGATTAGCCATTGTTCCAAATCTGGCCTATGGTGATAAAGCACTGAATGAGAACAAATTCCCTAGCAAATCTTTATCAATCATATGACCAATACATGCAGGAACCTGGGGGTTTTAGGGGCCCTCAGGCATTCAGCCACTCCGGCCCTAATTCAGGAGAGACTGAAAGATACAAAATGTGGGATGCAGCTCAAGCTGGTGCAAGCAAAGGTAAGTGAAGATACATATTATTTTAGTCACCAGTAAAGACTTGTTTTGAAGGTAAAACCTGTCCTGGTTCACCAATCAAATGTGTTAAAGAGGATAGAGTGAAGACTCAAAGTATGTTTCGTTTTCCATATTGAGCAGTGACTGTTTAAAGCAGGGGTGTCCACCTTTTTTCACAGAGGGCCACATAGAGAAAAATATACGAAGGGCTGGGCCCCTCACTACAGGTGATGTACAGTATATTGCCTCATAAGTTAAAGGGGACCTATCATGCAAAATGCACTTTTGTACGTCTTTTATACATGAATATGTGTCCCTGGTGTGTCAGGGAACTCACTAAGTGTCAGAAAACACAACCCTCTCTATTTTCCTCCATACCCAAATCTCTAAAAACGGGGCTGCAACGGATCTGATACAGACTGATACAGATTTGAAATTGTTCTGACGTCAGAAACGGGGTGCTCCGCCTATATGGGCAACTCTCCACCTATCAGGGGAATGAGAGGTTGCGTGGCATGGTAACAGCATGGTAACAGCATGGTAACAGCATGGTAACATGACGCTCGTGCCTCGCTCCCCTCCTTTGCAGGGGGGTGTGGTCAGCTGCAGCTCATTTGCCACAGAATCAGCCCTTGTGAAGACAGGGCTGGAATAGAGCAAATAGAGCGAAATGAGGCATGGCTAAAATGCATGATCTGTTCGGTATTTTGAAAAAGAAACTTCACATGTTTTATATAGGTATGGCCCTACAATATATTATTAAAATATAGCATGATGGGTCCACTTTAATTTATAGGTCGGCAAAATCAATCAAATGTAAGTAAAGGATGCTTAATCAGCTCTCCTTAGGGTTTCAATTATTTTGTTGGAAGCTCATTCCTTACAACAGAAGCGTCAGATTGCTTATAAGAGGATTTATGATGGGTATATTTCAAGGTTGTTATGAAAATAAGTTATTGAGCTTTTTTCTTATCAACTTAGATTTGTTAGACTTAGAAATGTTTTCAGCTTTAATTGACTGAATG